GTATACTTCGGTGCAAACTTGGGAGTCAGTCCAGGAGAGTGGAAAGGCAGTCGGAGCCACTCGAGAGAACCGACGGGGAAAGTGTCCTGAACAAGATCACGGTCGTGGCGATCTTTTTGGAGGGCTTGATTATCGGCTGTGAAGGACCGTGCAAGCTGACGACACTCTTCAGCATGTTTGGCCATTTCAGAAACTGGGCTGAACGCGGAGGCATCAGGATTATATGGCAGAATTGTGTCGAGTGTGCTGCATGGGTCCCGACCATATAAAAAAAAAATGGAGAAAAGCCCGTTGTTGATTGAATCGCGGTATTGTAGGCGTACGTCACGAAAGGAAGAACAATGTCCCAATTGGAGTGGTCGGAATCAATATACATAGCGAGCATGTCTCCCAGGGTTCTATTGAAACGTTCCGTGAGGCCGTTCGTTTGAGGGTGGTAGGCTGTTGATGTGCGGTGTACAGTACGGCATGAATGTAAGAGCTGCTGCAGAATTTCTGACAAAAATACACGGCCCCAGTCACTCAGGAGCTCCCGTGGTGCACCATGACGAAGAACAAACCGACGCAAGATGAAGGTTGCAACGTCACGGGCACCAGCCGAAGGGAGCGCTGCCGTTTCAGCGTACCTTGTCAGATGCTCTGCAGCCACAATTACCCATCGATTACCACCAACAGAGCACGGTAGCGGGCCATATAGGTCAATCCCAATATGGTAAAATGGGCGTGCAGGACATGGTAAAGGCTGCAGTTGACCAGGTGAATGAGGGATTGTCTTGCGTTGCTGATACAGGGAACATGAGCGAATGTGTTTGCGTACAAACGTATACATACCCCGCCAGTAGTAACGTTGGCGGATCCGTTCATACGTATTTAGCGCACCGGCGTGTGCGTGTTGCGGCTCAGCATGAAAATATTCGGAGATATCGGAGCGCATATGGCTGGGCCTGACTAGCAGCCATTTACGACCCACCACTTGATAGTTGCGACGGTATAACAGGCCATCCCGTACGGCGAAATGGGTTGCTTAGCGGCGAAGAGCACGCGGGTAACCGGAAGTTGATGCATCGGAAAGCATATTCAAGAGCGAGAAAATCCAAGGGTCCTTCCACTGTTCGGATGGCATGTCTGTGACGCTGACGGCAGAGAGGGGAAGGTCAGGGGCTGATATATCCGTATCATCAGATTTCACGGGTGATCATGAAAGCGCATCTGCGTCAGAGTGCTTTCGCCCCAATCGAATTCCTGGAAGCGTAGTGCCCAACATCCGAGGCAACCAGAAGGATCTTTCAGTGAAGCCAACCAACAGAGTGCGTGATGGTCAGTTACCACATCAAAAGTTTGGCTGTACAAATAGGGGCGAAACTTGTTTAACTTGCCCACACAATCGCGAGGCACTCTTTTTCCGTAACAGAATAGTTGGCTTCTGCCTTAGTGAGGGCGCGGCTGGCATAGGCGACCACATACTCCGTAAAACCTGGCTTCCGTTGCGCGAGTACTGCACCAAGGCCAACGCCACTTGCATCCGTGTGTACGTCGGTTGGTGCAGTAGGGTCGTAATGGCGCAGTACGGGTGGTGAGGTAAGGAGTCGGCGCAGTGTTGCGAATGATTCGTCACAGGCTGCTGTCCAATTCGAAAGATCTGCAGGGCCAGCAAGGAGTTTGGTGAGTGGAGCGATGATGGAGGCAAAGTTCCGGACAAAGCGACGAAAATAGGAGCACAGGCCCACAAAGATCCGTAGTTCTTTAACAGTAGTTGGCTTAGGAAATTCGGCAACAGCACGAAGCTTGTCAGGATCGGGAAGAATGCCGGCTTTCGAGACGACATGACCAAGTATGGTGAGTTGTTTTGCCCCGAAGTGACACTTCTTCAGGTTAAGCTGAAGCCTGGCATTTGTAAGGCACTGTAGAATCTTGCGCCGACGAGTGAGATGCGAAGTGAAATCGGGTGAAAAAACCACAACGTCATCAAGATAGCACAAGCAAATGTTCCATTTGAGACCACGTAAAATTCTGTTCATCATTCGCTCGAATGTGGCAGGCGCATTGCAGAGTCCGAATGGCATCACGGTAAATTCATAGAGGCCATCCGGTGTGACAAACGCCGTTTTTGGACGATCAGACTCAGCCATTGGGACCTGCCAATAACCCGAGCGAAGGTCAAGCGAGGAAAAGAATTCTGCACCTTGGAGACAATCGAGAGCGTCGTCTATGCGGGGAAGAGGGTAAACATCTTTTCTCGTAATGTTGTATAGGTGCATGTAGTCTACGGAGAACTGGATCGAACTATCCTTTTTTTTTTTTGACGAGTACAACTGGTGAAGACTAAAGACAACAAGAAGGCTTGACGACTCCACGCTGTAGCATGTCGTCTACTTGTTCTGCGATTACGCGACACTCCACCGGGGACCCACGATAGGGCCGCTGGCACAAAGGAGTACTTTTCCCTGTGTCAATTGTGTGCACAACGGTGTTCGTTCTTCCTAGCACCGCTTGGGGAAAACCAAACGAACGCCTGAATTCGTGCAACAGGGTACAAAGCTGCTCTCGTTGAGCTGGGGCGAGATGGCTGTCAGTAGAACGGTGTAATGCATCGGACGACACGCTGTTCGAGGCAAAGTGAGGAACCAACGCGTTCCGCACCATATTCGGCTTGGTGTCGAAGAAATCGGCAGGCACGATAGTATCTTCATCAATAAGCTGAATGTGGCCGAGCGTCTTGTTGCGGCGCAAACTGAGGGGGCACGAGTTGGGATTGGAAATAAATATTTCTGTAGTGTCTTGACAAAGCGCAAGAATGGCAAATGGCAGCGATGTGTGGTGGCGGCTACCGAAGATGTCAGATCGCATGAATAGGACGGTAGTGTCAAAGTGAAGCGCAGCACGCAGGGACAAACTGGACGCTAAAAGGAGGAAGGTCAGTGTCCGTCGCGACGACAAGGTTAGTCACACTAGATACGGCCGCATCAACGGAAGGCGTATCACGAAACGGTAACAGCTCCACTTCGGCCCGAGCGCAGTCCACGACGGCATGACGACGTGATAAGAAATCCCATCCTAGGATGACATCGTGGGAACATGAAGCCAACACGTAAAATTCAATGATGTACAATACGGCTCGAATAATCACTTTTGCTGTACATGCTGCGACGGGCTCAATTTGTTGGGCGCTCGCAGTGCTAAGAGAAACCACGGGAGAAAGCATCGTCACTTTACGAAGAGAGCGGCAGAGTCTTTGGCTAATCACAGATATCGCGGCACGTATCGATGAGTTCAAGTATTCGTACACCGTCGACGATTACATCGATAAGATTGGCGGGAGACAGGCGAGGACTTAAACGATTAGACGATGACGCAGCTCTTGCCTCTGGAGCTGCGGCAGTTAGTTTTCCGTCTCAATGGAGGTGGGTCGTCGACGCTTAGGTGATGCAGAACGATGATTTGTTGAAAGGGAATGCGAGCGGGAAGTAGACCGTCGAGAAGTGGAGGTCGGGTGCCGGAAGCAGCTTGCGCGTCACGTTCGTGAACTTCAAGTGGCACGTGAGGCGTGTGGTACGGAGGCTGAAACGAGTAGTCAGGGTATCTTGGTGCATTAACTGCGAAGCTCTGAGGACATAGACGTGCAACGTGACCTGGAATTCCGCAAAAGTAACATATGGGCCGGTTGTCAGCAGTGCGCCAAGGATTTCGGCGTGCTGCTGTGTAGCTGGAAACAGCGTGATGTAAGGTCATGCAGGTTGTGGTGTATACAATGCCAAATGAGAAGGAGGCATTGCCGCGATGGCTGCATAAGTCAGTGGCGTGGCAACAGGTGTTAGTGGAGAGGCAGACGTAGGTAATGGCAACGCCTCGAAGACCTGCTCCTGAATAGCCTGTCCGATTTTCGGCGTTAGGCGGTTCGTTGGTGCTTTGGTGGTCAGCAGATACAAGAGACACGAAAGCTGTCGTGCGACCTCTTCGCGTACATATTCTTTTATCTGCTCCAGCAGGGTGCTGTCACCACCGACGACCAGGGCAGCGAGAGAGTCGTCTGCTGTCGTCGACCTCCGAACTGATGCACATTGTTTAGGAATCTCTTCCAGAGCTGGCACAAGGTCACAAGTTCGGATATGGTACTTGGGTCCTTTGCCAGCAACATTTGAAAGGCATCATTGTCTATTCCTTTCAAGATATGCCTGATCTTGTCTTGTTCGGTCATCTCAGGGTTAAAGCGGCGGCATAAATCGATAACATCTTCAATGTGGCTAGTGAAGTTTTCGCCCTGCCTTTGCGCTCGTCCGCGTAGGCGCTGTTGAGCACGCAGCTTGCGCACTGCGGGGCGATCGAACACAGCTGCAAGGGTGGTCTTGAAAGTGGCCCAAGTGGTAAATTCAGTACGGTGGTTTGTGAACCACAGGCTGGCGACGTCTTTGAGATAAAATGGGACATACTCCACTCCAATTTCGAGGGGTCGTCCCACATGTTGGCGGCGCTCACCTTTTCAAACAGCTGCAATCAGTCTTCTAAATCTTGGTCCTCGGTGCCGCTGAAGAAGGGGGGATCCCGTTAGCGCAGGTTGGTAGGTACGATGACCAGTTGAGATGGGGCCGTGCTTTGCAGGGTGGCACCTTGCTCGGTCGTCTTATCAGGCATTGCTGATGCAGTGGGCAGCTTCCGGCTTCGAAGTTCCAGGTCTGCGTACCCAGCACACTTCCACCACTTTGCAAGGGAGTTTAATAGCGACGCCAGGTAGTAGGCAGGCAGCCGGTACGGACACAAATGCTCGAGCAGCCCAGTGTCTACAGCTCGTGCACACGCTCGCGCTTCGCACTCAGAGATGGTCCCACTAGTCAGTGCCTTGTGAATTCCCCACTACAGGGCTAGTTGGTATGACATGATGATACCTTTAGCGCGAGAACAGAACGACGACAAAGCGACTTCTTGTCTCTTTGTCGTCGCTCTGTTCTTGCGCTATAACTATTGCTTTGAATTAACAGTAAAAAGCGAGCAGGATGAGGCGTTACCTCAATGTTAAATTCGAACGGGAGATTGTCCATCCGTAACTCGCGCTCCAGGTACTCGTGCAAGACATTCAGGCGAAGAAAGATGAACTCTGTCTCTGCACCAATGGGCTTTTCCAGCTCGTCGAACTGCACAAAAGGTTGAAAGGCACGTTCGAACCACTGTTGTCGTGTCAGACAAGCGGTAACATTAAACTAATGTGCAACGACTTCAGTAATTAAAAAAGCGGTGTCACCTCGCCTGTCTTCTCCTTGGGCAGACCTTGGCAGTCCTTCATTTCGTGTCCTACGAGAAAGTGATGCCGGATATTGAATCAGCTATGCAATATAAAATCTTAAGATTCATTATAAATTAGCTCAACAGAACAGGTCAATAGAAGGAAAGTTAAACATTCAGAGTGCTAATTAGGTACAGTACAAAGATACAGTACACACAGTACAGTACAGTACACACAGCCCAAGACAAGCACATGTCCTGTGCTGGAAGTGTTTTACAGAAGGCCTGTGCTGGAAGTGTTTTACAGAAGGAATAAGGTGCAAATGAGACCAACACAAAAAGGGACATGGATGAGTCACTGTCTCTTCTTGTGTTCGTCTTGTTTGTGCCTTATTCCTTCTGTAAAACACGCACCATCTAGCCGAACAAAAAGTTCTACTTGCTACAAGTAAGTGTTGCTTGATGCAAGTTTTGCTAATTTGCAATCTGCCATTTACTATTATGACCCAAATAGCCCAGCAACAAATTCCATCCAGAAAAAAAGGTGAACACAGGCGCAAGTGCTGCCTTCCTTTTGGTCGTTCCATTTCATCGCGTTACTTGTGATCAACTAGATGTCGATACCTACCATTACGCATCTCTTATAAAGCACGTGAAAGAAGCAGACCAGCAACAATAGCTAACAAACTTACCAAGCTGTCCGCAGAGCTCACACGGCCTGGGCTGATTCGGCTTGAATTCTTCACGAATGATGGTGAAGTTTGGTTCGTGGGTGGCCAGCCCCAACATAATCAGGTCGGCTGCCGGAAAGAAGGATAATGTGAGGCAGTGCAAATCGCAAGAACCACCCCAAAAGAATTGCCACCAATGCTACGAAACTGACTCGCTGCAGAGCAGAAAATAACTGTCAACTAGAAAAAACACCCGCTTAGCCTGTCTGACTGACGGTTAGAACACGTCAAATATACACTCAAACCTTGTTATAACAAAGTTGCATTTCACATGAAAATAAGTTTGTTATATCGAAAAATTTGTTATAATAGTATATTCCTAAAACTATAAATTTTGCTAGACTATACTCCATTTACTCTATTATAACCAATCTTTCGTTATATCCGGGTATGTTGTATTCAGGTTTGAATGCATTAGAAGATTACACTCGTGCAAGAACACCACACTTTCAGTGTTACAAATTAAAAAAAGGAAGTTAAAAAAAGAATCTAAGCACACTCAAACCTCATTGTAACAAAGCTGCATTCCTACACAAAAATAAGTTTGTTATATTTGAAATTTGTTATAAACCTATATAGTCATAACACTGTATCCATTACAAGAACGTTCTTCATTAATTTCATTATAACTGTAGTGACAAATACGGGCTCTGCTAAAGAATTGACGAAGAAGACGTTTGTTGTAATGGAGGCTCGTGCTGCTGCAGCTGCTGCTGAAACGGCTGGCTGCTGTCTCGCTGCTGTTAGGCCTACTAATCGGCTGCTTCACCCCAGCATGGCGTCTAACAGTATTCTTACATTTGGTGGAGAGTGCTGGTTGTTTCAAACTGGAACTCCGTTCCCGGACTCTACCTCAACCCCCCGCCTCACCAATGCCAAACGACATGACCCAGCAGCCTGCAGTAATAATCCCATCTGTCACCTGTTCCGGAATGCCACGACAGCGAGATCCATTGATTTTCAACGCGACCGACGACCAAGACGCTGAAGACTGGCTATCCCAGTATGAAGCGGTAAGCGCCCACAATAAGTGGGATGACAGACAAGCTCGCTTATTTTAATTTCTATCTCGCGAGTGCGGCAGAACTGTGGTTTAACAACCACAAAGCGGAAATACCCTCTTGGTCAACCTTCAAGGTGCGCTTTGCAGAAGTCTTAGGCCGACCCGCTGTTCACAAGCTGCGCGCCGAACAGCGCTCTGGCAAGATCTTTAGCTCGTATATTGAGGATGTTCTGGACCTCTGCTGTCTTATCGATTCCGACATGTCTGACACTAACAAAATACAGCACATCATGAAAGATAGCGAGGACGACGCCTTTCAGATGCTCGTTGCAAAAAACCCGCAAACCGTCGCCCAGATTATTCAGCACTGTCAGAGTTTCGACGAGCTGCGGAGAGAGCTCATTTCTACTCGACGTCCAAACCTCAACACGACCTCTACATCTGCGTTAACTATTGGCGCTGTTTCCTCCGAACAAACCAAGTTAATGCAGCAAATCCAGCAGTTCGTCCGAGAAGTGTCGTGCCAATTGTCTCTTGTGCCGTACGTCCTGACCAGTGCACGCACGCTGACCCTAACGCTCTGCAAGGCAATCGAAGAGCAAGTTTCTGACGCCCTGTCTCCCGCATACTATTTTTCGCCTATCTCCACCCCTCTCACTTACACTGAGGCCGCCGGACGATCGCCGCCGTCGCTACCAACTGTCACGGACCTTGCTAGACAGCCCCGTCCCCTCTACGCAGCAAGTCTACCTATCCGTCCCCAGCCACGTCCTGTTCGCCACCCCTCACCACCATCAACTAACCCTTGGCGCACTCCGGACAACAGGCCAATTTGTTATTTCTGCCATCCTCCCTGTCATGTAGCACGCTACTGCCATCGTCGGGATTACAACCCAACTGCTGGTGAGGCGACTTACGACTCTTATCGTCCAGAGCCACCACAGTCGTCTTCGTTCCCCCCCACGTCGAATCAGTCGCTGCAACATCGCCGCGGCTTCGTCAGAGATCCGTCGCCCTCACCACAGCGCCGCTCTATTTCTCCGATGCTTCCTCGATCTCCACCCACCCAAACGGAAAACTGACCATTGCAGTTCCCGAGGCAAGCGCTGCGCACATATCGAAACCTTCAAGGCCTCCATTTTTGCCTGCTAATGAAATAACTGCATATTGACGGTGTACCTGCGAAAGCGCTCATTGATACTGGTGCTGCTGTGTCTGTGCTAAGTGGTGAACTGTGCCGCAAGTTGAAGAAGCTTACGCTACGCTTTACAATGTGTCTCTCCGCACGGCCACTGCGCATCACATCCAACCTTCTGCGGCGTGCACAGCTCGACTGGTCATCCAAAATATTTTGTATGTAGTCGAATTCGTTGAGTTTGCCTCATGTTCACGTGATATAATCTTAGGCTGAAACTTCCTCTGCGCTCATCATGCCGTCATTCACTGTGCGCGCACCGAACTAGAATTGTCGACGATATGTGAACTGCCCTGGTGTGAAGCGCCGACGTCTGAAAGACCTTCTTTCAAGCAGATATCTTGCCGAGTAACCGTGGCCACGGACACTCCCACATCCCTCCTCTACCCTGTGCTCTTGTGCCACTCTTCTGCGACGACGCACCCTCTGTCACCGCCCTCTTTGTCCCCTCCGACGCCTTCGGCTCCCGCAAAAGCTTCCTTCTCCCGTTCGCAGTTGTCACCGTAGAAAACTCACGAGGCTCATTTATATAACGAACTCGCTTCCTTCCCCAGCCATATTATTCCATGGCGAAGTCCTCGGTCACCTTGAGGAAATTGATTCTGTTTCATCCAGTCACCTACCTGATGACTTGCCACCATCTCACTTAAACACCATTACTTCTGATACCACTCTCACTTCATCTCCAGAAGTTTTTTTCCCATCGATTGATTCCAAGCTTCCCGCTGCTCAGCGCACCCAACTCCTGGCTCTACTTGGTCGCTTCAAGATGTCATTTGGCCATAGCCAACCTTCTTTGGGTTGTACGTCTGCCATCGTTCACAAAATCGACACCCGTAGCCATGCACCTTTGCGCCAGAGCCCATATCGAGTTTCTCACGCTAAACGCCGTGCCATTGATGATCAAGTAAACGATATGCTTCGACGTGACGTAATACAACCTTCAAACAGCCCTTGGGCCTCTCCGGTTGTACTGATGAAAAAAAAGAATTGCAGCATCAAATTTTGCGTTGATTACAGGCGTCTGAATAAGATCACAAGAAAAGATGTTTATCCGCTGCCCAGAATCGATGACGCCCTCGATTTCCTGCAAGGAGCAGAGTTCTCTTCTTTAGACCTTCGATCCGGCTATTGGTAAGTCCCTACGAATGAAGCCGACCGCTCTAAAACTGCATTTGTAACACCTGACGGATTGTACGAGTTCAATGACATGCCATTTGGCCTCTGTAATGCGCCTGCCACCTTCGAGCGTCTCATTGACAACATCCTTAGAGGCTTTAAATGGATCACATGCCTGTGCTATTTAGGTGACGTCGTAGTTTTCTCGAAGGACTTCGACTCCCACCTCAGCCGCCTCGCAAGCGTCCCGACTTGTCTTTCGGACGCTAGACTGCAGCTGAATTTGAAGAAATGCCACTTCGCTGCCCACCAGCTTAAGATCTTAGAGCATGTTGTAGCATGTTGTTAGCAAGCATGGTGCCCGTCCTGATCCAGCCAAGCTTCACGCTGTCGCCGACTTTCCCAGGCCGGCTACACTGAAAGAACTTCGCAGCTTCATCGGCCTCTGCTCATATTATCGCTGTTTCGTGCACAATTTCACCACCATAATCGCACCCCTGACGCAGCTACTTCCCGACAACTAAGGCATTTCAATGTGGTCCCCAGCATGCGACGAAGCATTCGCCTCTTTACACCATCTTCTGACATCACCACCTATCCTACGCCACTTTGATCCAGATGCTCCAACCGAAATCCATACAGACGCTAGTGAAGTAGGCCTCGGCGTTATTCTTGCTCAGCGTAAATCTGGCTTCGATGAGTATGTTGCATCCTACGCTAGTCGCACCCTCAATAAACGTGCAAAAGAACTATTCAGTCACCGAGAAAGAGTGTCTTGCCACTGTTTGGGCAATCACAAAACCCCGACCTTACGCATATGGCCGCCCATTTGACGTCGTGACTGATCACCACGCATTGTGTTGGTTGTCGTCATTAAAAGACCCATCTGGTCACCCAGCTTGCTGGGCACTAGGTCTCCATGATTATGACATTCGTGTAATATATCAGCCAGGCCGCAAGCATTCGGACGCCGACGCTCATTCTCGCTCGCCACTTTCCCACGATTATGTTATCCACTTGAACATGCCGACATGTTCAAGTGCATTTGCGACATGTTCAAGAGCAATGCCAGGATCCACGGATAGCGTCTCTCTTGGCGTACCTGTCTCGGACGTCTCCACGTACCGACAACCGTTTACTTCGACAAACTGCTCACCATTTTACCATCCGTGACGGTCTTCTGTACCGGCGAAACTACCTATCTGATGGCCGCAAATGGTTGCTGGTAATCCCTCGCCACTTTTAGTTCCAACGTCTGTGCCTCCTTCCACGCGGATCCGCAATGTGCCAACGCAGGTATAGTGAAGACGTATGCTTGCGTACGAATTCGATATTACTGGCGCGGAATGTACATATACCGCTTTGTTAGGCAGTATGTCCGTTCATGTTCCTTGTGCCAACGCCGGAAGAGCTCCTCTCGCACAACCACAGGGCCACCCCAGCCACTGCCTTGTCCTTCTCGGCCTTTCAGCCACATCTGAATCGACTTGTACGGTCCCCTACCATACACACCAAATGGAAACCGCTGGGTCATCGTAACCGTGGACCACCTTATGCGCTACGCCGAAACTTCAGTGCTTCCCGAGGCCACTGCGCGTGAAGTCGGCTTGTTCATTCTACACAACCTCGTCCTTCAGCATGGTGCACCCCGCAAGCTTCTCAGTGACCGTGGGCGTTCCTTCTTGTCGGAAGCTGTAGAAGCCCTCCTACGCGAATGCAACATCGTGCACCGAACAACCACCGCATATCACCCCCAAACCAACGGGTTGACCGAGCGATTTAATCGCACGCTGGGTGACATGCTCTTCATGTATGTTTCTGATGACGATACAAACTGGGACCGCACACTACCATTCGTTACTTACGTTTACAACAGCACAATTCAATCGACAACTGGATTCTCACCGTTCTTCCTTCTTTACGGTCGGGAACCTTCATCGTTCTTGGACACTATCCTTCTGTACCGCCCAGACCCTTCAGGATCGACAACTTTGGCTGAAGCTGCCACATATGCCGAAGAATGTCGGCAGCTCGCACGTTCACTCCCTACGAACTATCAGGCTCGCCAGAAGCACTCTTATAACCGACGCTCATCCCCTTCGTCATACGCGCCTGGAACAATCGTGTGGCTCCGCGTGCCATTGTCTGCTCCAGGCCTTTGCTCAAAGTTCATACCCAAGTATGACGGTCCGTACCGGATCCTGCGCCAGACATCACCAGTCAACTACATGGTTGAACCTATTCAGCCACCTACAGATCAACGGCGCTGCGGGCGCGAGACTGTGCACGTTGACCGTCTAAAACTTCACTACGACCCACCAGTCCTGTCTGTGGCATAGGTCACCAGGGTGGCTCCTTTCGCACCGGGGAGTCAATGTAGTGACAAATACGGGCTCTGCTAAATAAACGATGAAGAAGACGTTCGTTGTGGCAGAGGCTCGTGCTGCTGCAGCTGCTGCTGAAACGGCTGGCTTCTGTCTCGCTGCTGTTAGGCCTATTATACGGTTGCTGCACCTCGGCGTGGCGTCTAACAGTATTCTTACATAACCAATATTTATTTATATCCAGATTCATCATGCCGAGGTTTGAGTGTAATTGCATAGGTTGGACAAATAAATTGATCTTACTCCGACCCATACCATAGATATGTTTCTCACTAAGGAATTACTCGGACTTTACTAACCACTGCTTTGCTGAAGTGCACTCGCTTGCCCCCAGACCCATTAAACTTCCTCGGCAGGATTAACTTGTACTCACACTTACCAAAACTTTCCTCAAACAGGCCCAGTCAAACTCCGACTAGTTAAATTTTTCTTCAACCACGCTCACTCCAGCTCAGATTCGCAAATATGTTCGTCAACCCGACTCACTCGAACTCAGGCTCGGCAAAATTTTCCACAAGCGGACTAACTCAGAGTCAGACTCACTCGGCGGGCTCATTCAGACTTAGACTCACGGCCCAATCTGAGTCTGAGTGAGCTGACCCGTGAGACAGTATGCAGCCTATAGCAATTTGTGAAGCCTAATCAAGTAAATGAGTAATAATTATTCATAAGTTTGCAAGAAGCAAAGACTAAAAACAAATAAACAAGTATATTCTAATCTGCACAAGTAAGATTTAAGTTCTTACGATGTTAGTGATAATAATGCAAACAATCACACTTCATAGTGTGAATAAATTGATCACTGGAAGAGGAATGTCTTTTCAAAAGCTGACACTTACCATCAGCTCCACAGAGACAGTGATGCGTGTTTGGGTCATGCTTGGGGTTAGCTGCATAAGAGAAAGATGAAAAAAAAACGCAAATGACCCCACCAGCAAAGTACCACTTATTTCTGTGCATTTTGTACCATTTCAAAGGCTAAAGACAGCTAACACACAAAGCAGCTTTTGTGGGAAAATCCAACACTTTCAGTAGGATTGCACACAGTCACCAAAGGCTAAGAATGTATTTTGACATGACCTCCGAGATAAGTAGTTGCCTAGGACACACAGTCTAGAAGACAACATGCTGGGACTTAGTCACACAATGTGTCCAGCTAGTCCTTACTGTACACATAAGTATTTTAAGTGCATTTAAAGCTTGCTAATGAGCAAAGCACATGTTACCAGGCCTACAGCGTTGTCAATTTAGCTTCAATAATAATAAACCAATAACACAGATTCTGAAGTGAAATATCAAATGAAATTGGCACTTACTTGAGCTATTCTCCTAAGACTACTATTAACTTGTATGAGATTAATTAGATTGGTTTGTAGAACCAGAGGCAAAAAAAAGGTTGTGCCCATTGATCAATTGACATAAGGAAAATAAATCACTTAGTAGCATTTAATTGCTAATATTTAACAAAGATTAAAACAGATGCATTGGACAAATAGACCACAACAGCGCAGCAGCTACTGATTAGAGTACCGCATTATCACGTATAACATGCACAAAATATTCATCCATCAATTCGGTGCACATAAAGGCTTCATGGCACCACTTCGAGGTAATGAAACAAAGGCGGCTTCACAACAACATGCAGCTATCTTTTTACTTTCTTAGTCTTTCCCGGCTTGTCATTAGGGGCGCAGGAAAAAGATACAGTATGTACAGGGATATGTTACGCCTGGGTGACTATAACAGGCAAGCACGACGCGTACTGTCTCCTCACACGTAAACAAGCTGAGCGAGCCCACCTCTTTGCCTTCGAATGAAGTCCATGATCTTATGCTCGCCCTCTCCAGGCACGTTGGCGTCAGAGAGGATGACCTGAATGTTCTTCCAGCCAGGGTCATTGTTGAGCCGGTCATGGATGTAGTAGTGCAGGCACTTCGCCAGGCGATCCATGAACGGCGTTCCCTGCAGGAACAGAAAAGGGTGAACTGAATGCAACTATACCCAGTTATGAATTTTTTAAAGAAAACCAAAAAAAACGTCAGCTCCACACGCAGTCACTGCTGCCCTCCTCCAGGGAATTTGTATGAATATTCTATCCGATAGTGTTCACTCACATTTAGGAGGTCAAGCACTTCTCCAGAAAAGTGCTTCAAATGGTCGACTATCACCGTACACACACACACTCGCATAGCTAACTTTAGGTTGGAAACTTGAATGTCCTGGTGAATTTCACCGGGAATTCTCTCATGTACTCAGCCAAATTTTAAATAGTGACAACAAACCTTCAAGTCTTGAAGGAGCACTGACATCAAATTTGCTCATGCCAAGATTTTTGCAACCAGGAGTAGCCATCAATCCCCTATTAGCGATTCGCGACCCAAAATGCAACTGAGGGACGAATAACTGTCATTCTTATTGAAACAGCCGGCAGCCCACCATATTTAGCACTGGAAGCGCTTCCTCGCAGCCACCTCCAGATCGCACCCCAGCTGACCGCTTCTCCTCAGAAATGAGTGACATGATTCTCAGCTGCTCTGCTAACATTTCATCCGCACATGTTTAGTCGTGCTTAGTTACCTGCATCCTTATTGTCGCCATACAAAGTGTTGACTAGGGTTGAATATGACAGTCTGAAGCTTGGAATTGCCGCCACGCTGCGAATCATCTCGACTTCAATCGACCCTTTGGAGAACAGCGATTCCAAAGTGCATGCCAATCCAAGCAGTGACGAGGATGTGCGTGCTTGGCCATGCTCGCCACTGTGTCTCAATTAGCTACATGGGGAGTTCTGGCGTGCACAGCATTCAGGTATACGCAAAGGCGTCTGGAATATCGGTAGAAAGAACGTGCACCAGCGGAGAATTGGAGTACGTTCCCTGCTTGCCAGGTTTTTCTTTGAGCCTCTGGATGGCCCCACCTATCCAGTTTCTCATGGTTATGGCGGCAGTTTCGGTTGCCACTTCGGTTGTCCCTGTATTCAGCTGTTGAGGCGGTGAAGGCTTCGTAGGCGGAGGTGATGACTAAAAAGTGTGCAAAACTGATTTCATGAGGCCAACTATGTCTATGCCGGACCCGATGCTAAGCCTGGAGCTTTTGAAGAGGAACACTCCGGCAGCGATTTGTGGCAGCCCGTCGTCAACTCTGACGTGGGAGGACGAGACATCGATTCAGATGATTTCATTATGACGGATGATGGCGCTGACACTGTAGAACCGTGCACGAATGAGGGCACTGTGAATGAAGTGCGCGGCAAGAACGATTTAGAGGAATCCCATTGCAAGGATGACAACACTAGGAAGCTAATGCCCATAAGCGTGCTGGTACCAATTGGCTACATTAACAGCCTCAGGCAACTTATATATGCCACGGGCCTCAGCGAAGAGCACGCTGCCACTTTAAATTTACTCAAGACCACTTTTGTCGCTTCTGCTCTTGAAAACATGTGCATAACGGACTTATTTTAGGATAAACAATTTTTGTTACCTCGCAATTCTTTTAAAGCTGTGTTTCATTTATTGTAAACTTCACTATACAGCAAATGAGTACCGTATCATGCTCATGTTTGTTATAAGGGGGCTAGACTGTATATGGTATATAACGATGAACAATGATGGCACCATTTTCTTCTGGATGTTTTCTGCGTTAAAGTAAACCTCTTATTACAATGCTCCAGTGCCGCGATATCAGATATAGTGACTGAATACGGCTACAGCTCGCCCTGCCAATCCGCACCGACCACGGAGTGCCGTGAATAGTTGTGAAAGCGACAACTCCAATGACACAATTGAGCAGGCACTGTCATCACCATAGGGCCTGGGGATGATGCAGTCTCTTCTTTTTGTGAAAGACCTCCCGCTCTGCTATGTGGAGCACCTAGATGCTATTGAGAAAGATGTGTGCCAGTTTCACTTGAAATGAACAGAACTGACAGGCAGTGCCTTTTACGCAAACAAGTAGTACATAATTACACTACACAGTGATGCTACTGGCCTAGACTGCTTTGGAGCAGCTTTTGGAGCAGACAAAAATGAATTTTGGAGCAGCAAAACTGGCTTTTAGAGCAGATATTGCTACAGTCAACTTTAAAACACCTGTTTACGAAGAAATCCGTAAGCAGGGGTTGTGTTGAGCCGATATTCCAACAAGCGGCCTTGTCTTCCTCAGAACACAACTGTTCTGTTCTAGCCTTCAGAAAGACAAGTCTGCTTGTCTGAATGTCAGCCCGACATAACATGTGTTTACGAATTTTTTCATCCACCCCTTTCTGACATTTCTTTATTACTGTGTTCATGACACAAACGATAAAATTACGATGTGCTGCACGCTATGCAAGCATAATATAGTTAAAAGAAAATCATATCACCGACAGATAACCTCACTATATTTAATAGACGAAGCCTATGATAAAATTCAAGACCATAGATAGCACTTCATTAAAACGTGACTGAAGATCAGTTGACTGCCGATTTTTTAAAAGCCAGATTTTTCAGACATGCTTGAAAATTCGGACGATTTTACAACAGCATCAAAGGCCCTATCAATGCATGAATAAGAACACCTAAAATTTTCAGCACTGAAACTTTCAGTGTCCAATTTTTTTAGGCTTTCAGCCGACATTCCAGGTATGAAACAGCATTACTTAAAGTCTCTACCTTTGCTACATCTATGACCTCTTAGGCTTAATCGAACGCTTTCAAGAATTGTTCGGCGTCACAGTAATGTCCGAAAACCGGCTTTTCCGCAATGCAAAAATACTTTGGGGTGAAGAAGACAGAAAAATTCTAAGGGGCCGGTATCACCACAGAATGAGGTGATGTCCAACAAATAAGCATCGGAAATTCTTGGAGGCATGATGGCGGCAATGCAGCAAACACGCCAGTAAGACTTCATTGCTTTATGATAAGCATTTTCAGCTAACTGCTTGTTACTGCATGTGGCGCAGTCCTTATCGTACTGCACACTTTTAATCACTCATGCACGCTGCCTTTCTGGGTGAATCAGGTAAGTGTGTCGCACAGTGCCTTCACCAACGAAAGCAGCTCGCCATTGCCATGCCCGTGTGCGATCAGGAACAGAGCAAGCATCAAGAACACTTTTTTATGAGAAACACGTGCATACGAAAGCGCCCCAGTAAAAACAGTGTTAGCTGTGTAAGCTATGTGCTGCACACAACTAGGTACGATCGGTCTCGAGTGGCAGCAAGTGCCGAAGATTTTCATATAGTGACAGATTTTTAAGTCCGGACAAATAATCCTCTATTTTCCCACATCCTTCATTTTCTGCGTCATCGTTTCCACATGCCCCATGCAATAAATCCGCAACTTATTATGCGCTTTGCTGGTATTGGCGGCACTCATCACGCAATGCATATATGCTAATGAACATTGGCAGGCCCTGAATGTATTTATGACAGCCCGAGCGTGCACCGAAATGACAGATAAGTGTACTCTAGGAAGAATTGAAGCTATTTCAAAAGGAGATGCGGCGATTCGATTACTTGAGCAAAAAAAAAGTCATAAATCTTTTTTCGAATGATTTCCTGGTCCCTAGAAAGTCCCAAAAATCGGGCACCCACCGCGTCCCAACCATCCATGGTCTCAACAGTGACATTTGGCCCAGTTTGGCTTGGCTTGGCTCGGGTTGCGTCTTACGCAGGTGCACCGGGATGTCATTTTCAATGAAAGAACCTCAAGTAGTTTCGTTTATGAAAGCCTGAGCACGCCCTTCGGCGCAGGTTGGGCGCAGACTCGCCAAATTTTGAGGAAATGTAGCAGCCTGTAGCAGCCAGGGCGATTCGGCGCAGTTTGGTGCAATTGGCACAGAGGTAGCATCACTGCACTACATTACTTGCGTGCAAACGAACAGAACAGAAATGTTTCAGGGGCAAAGCTCCTTAAGGCGTGGGCTGTGCGTTCCCTGTATGTAGCCACCTCTCGTTTAGTTCTTGCAGTGTTCACTAGATGGCGGTACTATCCCCTGTATGTGGCCACCTTTCGTTTAGTTCTTGCAGTGTTTGCTAGATGGCGGTACTTGTAGCTGATGAAAGATTGTCTTCTAACCGCAGGTTAGAAGACAATCTGTTTTCACTGACGCAGTGCATCGAAATAGCAGAAAAAGAACACAGGCCCCTGTGGCTAGCATTTTTGAATATCAAGGGAGCGTACGATAGCGTGGTTCAAGAGGAATTGTGGGGAATACTGGACACACTAGGCGTGGAACATGTAGTCACTAATCTTTTAAAGGGTATCTATAAAGGTAGCAAGGTAGTTATAAAGTGGGAAAAACAGGTATCCAAGCCTGCAGAGGTAAAACGGGGGCTTAGGCAGGGGTGCCCCCTGTCATCCTTATTATTCATGATGTACCTACAAGGATTAGAGGCAAAATTAGAGGGAAGTGGACTGGGCTCCAACCTCTCTTTAGTCAAACAAGGAAAACTTATTGATCAGGCACTACCAGCATTAATGTACGCAGATGATATAGTGCTAATGGCCAAAAACAAGGATGATTTGCAGAGATTGATGGACATGTGCGGTAATGAGGGAGATAGGTTAGATTTTAGATTCAGTAGGGAAAAATCAGCAGTCATGATTTTCAATGACAGCAAAGGTAGTGAGCTTAGAATACAGGAAGTCACGCTACAGATAACAGATAAATACCAATATCTGGGCATATGGATAAGCAATGGGACCGAGTATCTGAGGGAACACGAAATATACGTGACGACTAAAGGTAACAGGAATGCAGCAGTCATGAAAAATAGGGCACTGTGGAATTACAATAGGTATGATGTTGTGAGAGGAATATGGAAAGGGGTCATGGTTCCTGGGCTGGCGTTCAGCAATGCGGTCTTGTGCATGAGATCAGAAGTTCAAGCAAGATTAGAAATTAAGCAACGTGGAATAGGTAGGCTTGCTTTAGGAGCTCACGGGAATACACCAAATCAGGGAGTACAAGGTGATATGGGATGGACATCATTTGAGGGCAGGGAAGCTAGCAGCAAGATAAAATTTGAGAAGCGATTGAGAGAAATGGGGGAAGAGCGTTGGGCTAGGAAGGTTTTCAGCTGCTTGTACATGAAGAATGTCGATACAAAATGGAGGAAGCGAACCAGAAAGTTGACTGGTAAATACTTAGAAATCAGCAGGTGGCCAAACCGAAAGGAACTATCGGTTAAGAAAAAAGTGAAGGAAACGGAGACTGACATGTGGAGAATGGGCATGATTAAGAAGTCCGCACTAGAGATCTATCGAACTTTTAAGCAGGAAATTGCCAAGGAAAGGATCTATGATAATACTCGGGGTAGTTCTCTACTGTTTGAGGCCAGGACGGGAGTACTGCGAACCAAGACATATCGGGCCAAATACGAAGGGGTCGACACAGTATGCAGTGCATGTGGAGAGGAAGAAGAAACTGCCGAACACTTGATAATGTTCTGTAAAGGGCTTCACCCTATAGTTCAGGATGATGGCGCAGAGTTTTTCAAAGCACTGGGATTTAGGGACAGCGAGGGCAAAATAGACTTTAAGCGGGTAGACCTAACTAGAAGGAGGTTATTTGATTGGTGGCTAAAGTCAAGGCACGAGTGAAAATTAAACCCTGATTCACTGCGAAGTACGAATCCTCAACTTCATTTTTTAAAGGAAAAAAAAAGATAAATGTAATGGTTAGTTCACTAAGTATCACGGCTAGGTAGCGATAGCCGCCGCCCGATCTAAAGGGTACAGCCACATCCATCCATCCATCCATCCATCCAAAGATGTGAGATGTTATAAAATAGGAATGATGTCACATATGGCCCGTGTCATTGGTGGAAGGCAATCGCTCGATTTAGTGCCACAACTTACACTAGGGGGAGCGTTGTAATAAAATCAAGTGGGCAAAGTGTATGGAGGATTCGTGATTTACCAGGTTTACCTCCGACGCTTCGCCCACTCATCATCATTCACTTCGTGAATATGGCGGCACTTTTTTTAATCTCTCTTTTTGTCAACCCGCTTATAACAATCATCGGTTATAACGAATAAATTTCTTTGGCTCTTGAACATCGTTATAAGTGCACTGCATTTTACGCACCGAAAACTCTTTTGATGTTATTGCCGATTCTATAGGCGGCAATGCTATCTGTAATCAGTGGAGTCGCGTGCGTATAAAACATGCAACATATGTGAGCGCCAACAATTATGCCGTAGTTTATAATGACTCATGTATGGCTCATCTAAAGACGGGGATCGATCGAGGGCTCATTTCTTTCGTTAGACACAATCTAATGAAACCAACCAGAAATGAAGCTAAGGAGGGTATTACTTGTACATTTTAACTGTTGCAGCGTAACTTTGACAGAGTTGCTGATGTGCGTGACCCACAAGTAACACCGCAGCAACGGACAACAGTGCAGGGCATAATCATTGAACTGCATGCAAGCAGGTTCAATATAGAGTTAACTCATTAAATAACACGATTACTGCTCACTACTTCATTGTCATGACATGCTAAGTCACTGTTCATTAGACACATCTTGCACAGTTATACTGTAGCTACGAATACATTAAACCTCAATATAGCAGCAAAATTTCAAATATTATGTAAAACTCTGCATTAGAAACCACAGAGTCATTTACACAGTGCCCTGCAATACCTGACCTCGAAAAAAGACAACAGTGTTACCGGCGTAATGCAGTTGCTGTCAAAGTGCTCGCTCTTGTCCTTCTCAGGCGGCAGAGGCAGTCCCCGGTCCCTCAGCTCCGCGCGAATGCGGCTCATCTCCTCAACCTTCTCTGCGGACTCCTTGGAGGCCCGGAAACGTCGAGAGCGTTGCTGGTTCATCTTGGCCCGTGGAGCCTGTGCACCAGGAAAAGAAAAACAGAAAAAGTGCGCTTCCCACACTGACATCTTCTCAAGTTCTGAAATATTACTGCCTTTGTAATTATTGCGAGGGAACAGTTTAAAGATATACAAAAAACATTCAAACAATGTAGAACAACACTACAAAGAAAGGGGGCTCAGAGATGATGGGAACATACGATGCTTGAATGCATTTTTGTGCAGTTCATAACACGCCTTCCCACCAACGGGACCTGCACGCCACTATAAACACGAAATAATCGAAGGCAACAATGTCTACGTGGTGTCCCTCAATGTCCAACTGTCCAGCTTTAGAACCCAATGTACTGAACTGCCCCAAAAATACATAGAATTGGGGGCGAAATCGCCCACATGCCTGGATTAACCTAAATATGAATGCCGAGATTTCTTTGCCCGATAATAACGACGGGAAATTCTACAAAGCATGACCAATTTTTCATTTAACCCTTTGTATCACACGACCAATGCAGCTGTGGAAGTAAAATATATTTTCGCATATTTGTCCTAACAACGTAGACGAAGAAGGGGATAAGCCGAGAAACAGGAGAACTTAGCTTCATTTCTAGAAGACAACAATACCCTACGTGCATACGCTGGGAATACTAGTTACACTAGGCCCACTTGTACATCTTTTTCTTCATCGAAGACGACGACTTTGCTTGGCAAGTTTCAATGCGGAAATCATTATCACCATTCCTTATAACAATCAAAGCATTCATCATCAGTTGAACATATTCATCATCAGTGTCATCATCATAATCGTTCAGGAGGTACTGCTTGCTAACAGCTTCGCTTCAATGCGTTCATGATCCCTTTAATTATTGCCATCATTAGTACATTCATCCTCATGATCAAAGCTTTCAAATTCGCCCTCATAATCCACATTCAAAGCCTATTTGCTTGCCCACAGCTCTGCTTCGGTGCATTCATGATCATCTTTATACAGTGCTTATACAGCGCTTATCCTTCGACGGAGAGAATCGCAAGCCTTCGACTTTGACTGGAACGATTGCGTTTAGTTGCCGGGCGCATAAACATCACTTCGCACGCAGGACAGGCGCTATTTGCAAAAAAAGTGTGCTTTTCAAACACAGCAAAGTAACAATTAACTGGGGTACATGGTTGGTTCACACTCATATCTGTACCTGTTGTAGTGGAGCATACGCACTAACGTGTATGCGCCTTCCAAAGAGAAGGAAAAACCCCGTGCTCTGATTGCACGAGAACCTGGGCCGCCTTTTGCCAGACTTGTCGTACGGCCATTTTTCGTTGCGACATCGTTGCGACTTCTCCGGTTCAATAAACGTCATCACATTTGGTGGAGGCTGCTGAGATCCCCAAGCAGACCTGGAGCTCCGCTCTCGCAAGTTGCCCGAGAGACCACTGCAAAACATGACTGACGCAGTCGCCAACCAGCCCATCCCAGCCCAGCCAGCACCACCGGCTGTCCCGTCTACCTGCCCCGGCGCTACTCGCCAACGGGACCCACCAATCTTCAGCGGCAGTGGCGAGCAAGACGTCGAGGACTGGCTCTCCTTGTACGAACGCGTAAGCGCCAGTAACAAGTGGGACAACGACTCTAAGCTCGCCTACGTTATATTTTACTTGGCAGACGTAGCTAAACTTTGGTTTACGAACCGCGAAACCGCCATCGCCAACTGGTCTTCCTTTAAGACACTCGTCACTGAAGCGTTCGGCCGACCAGAGGTCCGCAAGCTCCGCGCTGACCAGCGCCTGCGCCACCGAGCCCAGCAGCCTGGCGAGACGTTTACTAGTTACATAGAGGACGTGCTCGACCTCTGCAAGCGTGTGAATCCATCTATGCCCGAAGAAGAAAAAATTCGGCAGATTCTCAAGGGCATCGAGGATGGCGCATTCCAGATGTTGCTAGCGAAAAGCCCGAACACGGTGGCAATCCTCGTAAGCCTCTGCCAGAGCTTTGATGAATTGCGCCGTCAGCGTTCCATCGCCCGACAGAGTGTCCTACCGCCGGATTCGATCTCGGCCGTCACACTCACAAATGCCAACGTTTGCAAAGAAAGTCTGTCCAACCAGATCAAAGACTTCATCAGGGAGGAAGTCGCCCGACAGCTCTCCCTGCTGCCGCATAGCGACGCGCCCCACCGCAAGCCTGCCTACGACACTGCAGCAGGCCATACGCACGGAAATTTGTGATGTCCTCCCTACAGTGCAGGCCCCTTACCCGTGCACTTCAGTAGCGCCTAATCTCTCAGCTGTCGGCTACGCACCACCTGCACCACCTTCACCTCTCAGCTACGCAGCTGTGGTCGCGCGGCCCCCACCGCATCCAGTCGCCTTATCAGCTCCACCTCCTCCGGCCTCGCCTCCAGTTTACAGGCCCTCACCTCGCTTTTTCCATCGATCTAATGAGTGGCGCACTCAAGACAATCGTCCTATCTGCTTCGCCTGTGGCATCGCTGGCCACATTGCACGCTTCTGCCGCCCTCGCCCCACACCTGCAAACGCATACTTCGGAACTCCTACCTACGCGCCGCAGCAGGCCACCGCATCTGCATATGAACAGAGGCACTCAGACTCGGATCGCCGCCCATCGACTGCTCGTTTCCCATCCCCTCGTCGCCGGTCGCCATCGCCTATGCGTCGTCGACCACCTCCTGAGGAGGGAAACTAATCAGTGCAGTTCCGGAGGCAAGAACTGCAACTTGTGCGCAATTCCCAAGGCCTCCGTTTTCGCCGAAAAATGTTGTTGATGTCGATGTTGAGGGAGTCGCCACATTAGCGTTAATTGATACCGGGGCCGCCGTTTCTGTGATGGACGTCAAATTTTGTCGGAAACTGAAGAAAGTGACCACATCTCTCTGTGGCATGGTGCTGTCCACGGCTAGCGCGCAACGCATTCATCCCTCGGCTCTGTGTACGGCGCGCGTCGTCATCCAAGATGTTTTGTACGTCGTACAGTTTTTTGTTCTGCCATCTTGCTCTCATGACCTTATCCTCGGTTGGGATTTCTTATCAGGTCATGAAGCTATCATCGATTGTTCCCGTGCCGAAGTGTCCCTTGTGCCAACATATGAATTTCCACCACCCGACCGGTCTCCTCGGCTCTGCAAACTCATCGCTGACGACGACATCACCTTGCCCCCGGAAGCTTCGGTCCCTGTAAGCCTTTCATGTGTGGCGCAACCTGACGCCACGGTGGTGTTTACCCCCTCTCCTGTTTTTACTGAACGCAAGGGCATCGTTCTCCCATTTGCCGTTCTTACAATTGCATCTGGTTTAACCGTAATGCTGGTTACCAACCACTGCAACTACCCCATCAGCTTACTTCGTGGTGAAACGTTGGGATATGTGCAACCTGTCGACCATATCGATGATATTATTCTTCCCGACGAAACGCCATGTCACATTGCCGCAATAACTCATGCGTCTGAGCCATCAAGTTTGTCAGCCTTCGACAATGCTATTGACGCAGACCTTCCCCTCTCGCATCGCCGCCAACTTGTTGCTCTCCTTAACAAGTTTCGCTCTTCTTTCGACTTTCAAGAACCTGCTTTGGGCCGCACCACGACTATCACTCATACTATTGACACCGGCTCACATTTGCCTCTGCGACAGCGTCCTTACCGCGTTTCCGCCGAAGAGCGCCGCGTCATTACGGAGCAAGTAGACGACATGCTTAAACGTGGAGTGATACAGCCTTCTCAAAGCGCTTGGTCATCACCTGTCGTTCTGGTCAAGAAAAAAGATGGCACCGTTCGATTTTGCGTGGACTATCGCCGCTTAAACAAGATTACGAAGAAAGATGTCTACCCGCTACCACGAATAGACGATGCTCTTGACTGTTTACAAGGCGCCGAGTACTTTACATCCTTGGATCTGCGTTCTGGGTATTGGCAGGTGCCAATGGCTGAATGTGATCGCCCTAAAACAGCCTTTGTAACGCCAGATGGTCTATATGAGTTCAAAGTGATGCCATTTGGGCTCTGCAACGCACCTGCCACATTTGAGCGCATGATCGATACCATCTTGCGTGCCCATAAGTGGAAAACTTGCTTGTGTTACCTGGACGACATCGTAGTCTTTTCGTCTGATTTCCCGACACATCTTGTTCGCCTCCACGAGATTCTGACGTGTCTAACTTCTGCGGGCCTACAACTTAACTCCAAAAAGTGCCACTTCGCAGCACGAAAACTAACCATCTTTGGACATGTCATCACAAGAGACGGTGTTCTTCCGGATCCCGATAAGCTTCGGGCTGTCGCTGACTTCCCGTTGCCCACATCACTGAAAGCTCTAAGAAGTTTCGTCGGTCTCTGCTCGTACTTTCGTCGCTTTGTGCCCAACTTCGCGTCCATCATCGCACCTCTAACAAGTCTGCTCTCCAACAGCAAAGGTATATCTGCATGGTCACCTGCATGTGACGACGCATTTCGCCAGCTGCGCCGCCTGCTGACCTCACCACCCATTCTTCGTCACTACGACCCCACTGCTGCCACAGAAATTCACACCGATGCAAGTGGCATCGGTCTTGGTGCAGTTTTGGCACAACGGAAAGGCACCCAAGCCGAATACGTAGTCGCCTATGCAAGTCGCGCTCTCAAGAAGGCTGAATTGAATTACTCCGTGACAGAGAAGGAGTGTTTGGCCATAATCTGGGCCTTGACGAAGTTTCGCCCGTACCTTTACGGCCGCCCTTTCGACGTGGTCACAGACCACCACGCTCTATGTTGGCTGTCCACATTGAAAGACCCGTCCGGACGCCTGGGACGTTGGGCACTTCGATTGCAAGAATACGACATCCGTGTAGTATATCGTTCCGGTCGCAAGCATGCAGATGCCGATGCACTTTCGCGATCGCCTTTGACCCCAGATGTGGCTTCTCTGTCACCACTTTTTACCACCTTGTCACCAATAGACACCACTGACATGCTTTCGGAGCAGCGTAAAGATCCATACCTTGCATTGTTACTCGACTACCTTACCGATCCGTCTGCTGTCCCTTCCACGAGAGCGCTACGCCGACAAGCAGCCCACTTTTCCGTGCGAGACAGCATTCTGTACCGCCGCAACTACATGCCTGGTGGTCGGAAGTGGCTCCTTGCTGTCCCAACTCATATGCGCTCTGACATCTGCATGAATTTCCATGCAGACCCTCAAAGTGCTCACGCAGGTGTCCTGAAAACCTACGAAAGGCTGCGCCAACGATATTACTGGCGAGGAATGTATCGCTTTGTGCAGAAATACGTTCAGTCTTGCACCACTTGCCAACAGAACAAGACACCTCCGCGGCACCTTACTGGCATGTTACAGCCGCTCCCATGCCCGGCTCGCCCATTCGACCGCGTGGGTATCGATCTCTATGGCCCCCTCCCATATAGTCGCTCTGGAAACCGGTGGATTATTGTCGGCGTCGATCATCTGACACGCTACGCAGAGACTGCAGCTCTACCAGCAGCGACCGCCCACGAAGTTGCACTCTTCATTCTCCGCAGCTTCATTCTCCGCCATGGGGCTCCACGGGAATTACTCAGTGATAGGGGTCGAGTGTTCCTGTCGGAGGTCATCCAAGCTATTCTCGCTGAATGCAACATCATCCACCGGAAATCTACCGCATACCATCCACAGACGAATGGTCTCACTGAACGGTTCAACCGCACACTTGGCGACATGCTGAGGATGTACACCTCCTCCGACCACACTAACTGGGACGCTGTCTTGCCTTTTGTTACCTTCGCTTACAACACCGCGACACAAGCGACTACCGGTTTTTCCCCGTTCTTTCTGTTGTACGGCCGCGAACCATCCCACCCACTCGACACCATACTCCCGTACCGCCCTGATGTATCGGAGTGCTCCCCGCTTTCGGAAGTCACCAGATACGCTGAAGACTGCCGTCAGTTGGCTCGGTCTATGACAAGTGAGGCTCAAGGTCTACAAAAAACCCGGCATGATGACGCTCATCACATAGCGCCTACGTTTCGTACTGGCTCCCCCGTGTGGCTTTGGGTGCCCCCGCACGTTCCTGGCCTGTCTTCCAAACTTCTGGCCCGGTACCATGGTCCGTACCGTGTCATTGACGCGACCTCCTCGGTGAATTACATCATCGAGCCATTAACACAATCACCAGATTTGCGCCGTTGAGGACGCGAGACCGTACACGTCGACCGTCTCAAGCCCTACTACGACCCCCTCATTGTGCCTACTCCCTGAGTCGCCAGGATGGCTACTCTTCAACCCGGGGGTATTGTAGTGGAGCATATGCACTAACGTGTATGCGCCTTCCAAAGAGAAGGAAAAACCCCGTGCTCTGATTGCACGAGAACCTGGGCCGCCTTTTGCCAGACTTGTCGTACGGCCATTTTTCGTTGCGACATCGTTGCGACTTCTCCGGTTCAATAAACGTCATCACACTGTGATTACGTTTCGTGCCTTGTTTTAGTTTGAACAGCGCGTTAAGTGTCGAGCAGTAAACTTTGTTAGTTCTATCGTCTTGTGTTTGTTGTTTTCTTGCATCGTTTGTGCGTGAGAAGCGCGCTGCATGTTTTTATCTGCTTGCCGATCTCAGCGTTAATTCCAAATTGTTGCTATTGCATTGCTTCACCCTTGCAGCGAAACTGTGACTTTTCTTAATTTTGGACAATCGTGTCATCACCACCGAGGGGATGTCAGACCACGGTGACGACGGATATTCGGAGGTCCACTCGTCACGCGCTTCCATCTTGCGTCGCCCTGAGAGTTCGCAGGCTGGTAGCTTTCGCAATAGGCCGATTAGTGCTGGAAACAACACGACGAGTTAAATGCAATGCAATGAATGCAATAGCAAAAAAAATGTAATATTATAAGAAGTAAGGCTGGCAGCCAATTTTTTTGGATCCGTTACCGTGGAACTCCTACTAAATGCTGGCGTGAGCAAATACGGCCGCTCCAGGGGGAAGTGCTGTTTACCCACAGTCCCTTCGCGTTGAAGCCGCACTCATACACGCCGAGATAGCCAGCGCGCCAGCGATCACAAACGCCCTTAAAATCCAAGTTCATTATTACTACTCGAGCGATTCCCCTCCCTCCTAACTGCGTTGTCTCATGCTCGTTTAAGATGGGTAGTTTACTTTCTGTTTGAGCATTCGACGGCAGTTGTAACACGCGGGAGATATTTTCTTATGCACTTTCCAGGCGATAGGGATGGGCCGACTCATTTCACCTCTGCTTCAGCTGCGCTCGCGCGCTTTTACCCGCTCGTGAAAGTTTCGATGCACGGGGCATGTTATCAATTTGGACTTGTTACGGAACACCGCAGCGACGGCAATAACTTGCCGAGAGCATCCATAAAATTGCTATCGCAATAATACTGCAGTTTTTTTTTTTTTACTGTAAAATGAGTGTTTTGGGTTAGCTCTGCCTTCAGTATCCCTTTTCTTTTTTTAATTTGTGCGTTTCGTTCCGAATTTCCGAACCGAATCTGCATATAACGAAATCCTTTCTATAACGAATTTTCCCAGAAATTTTATCAATTTCGTTATATCCAGGTTTACCTGTATTACTTTAGTATCATTACCACCCCTTTTACCATTGTGTTCGAACTGAACAATTTTGTGATCATTATCAGCACTATTCAGAACGCCTTTGCATGCCAAAGGGTCTGCTTCACCTTGCTTATTATAAAAGCAGTCAAAATCAGAGCACTTTCTTCCAATTGGCAACTAAAAATTGAACGAAATGCATGTCTTCATCACTTTGTCCACGTCCTAAGTAAACTGAATTAATTCTGAACGCAAACAACATAATCTTCTTTTTCTGGCAGAAACCAACCTTTACTCACTCATTAACTGGTGCATTGATTTCACAGCGTGTTGAATTAACATGCCTCCGATTGCATAAATGGGCTAGGAGGCTTGTTTACAAAAAGGGGCAAATTATTGCTAATCGTCAATTTTCACAACGGGCTACTGTGTCCCTTGCTCCCCGAGCACGACTGACCTCGCAAATTACAGGGGAAACTTCAAGTAAAACATGATGCATTAGAGTTCTCTAGGTAGTCCTTGCACTTTAATCTGAACACATTAGAACTTGAATTTAAAAAGTTATAAAACCAAGAGAGAATGCAATCAAACAAAGAGCTAAACAATGCAGGCATTTTGCCAGTACTGTGCACCAAGCCAGAGGCAAAGCCATTGAACAGGCTATCTAAATAGAATGGCAAGTGCCAAACAGATCTCACCACTCCGTCAATGGCCATGTAAAGCAGGCGCCGAGGCCGGACAACGCTGAAGATGCGGTCAATGTATTCAAAGATGGCCACCATCATCTCATCTTCATTTTTAGGGGCAGGCCTGCATGAAGATGCAAAAAAACAATAAATAAGCAAGAATGTTAGCAATAAGTACACAAAGCAATCAATCAAAAGATGTTGCAGCTAGAAACCTCTTCCTCTACGAAGTTTGTATCCCGAATGGCTGCTGCGGTTTAACGTCCCAACACTGCGATATGGTTATGAGAGACGCTGTAATGGAGGGCCCCGGAAGTTTCGATTACCTAGGGTTCTTGAACATGCACCAAATATCTCGAATGGTCAAGCGAGTTCCTGAAAAGCAGCCGTTAGCATGTAGATGCACGTGTATAGAAATTTTACAGCTTGAGCAAGATTTGTCTGAAAGGTTAACTAGAAATTCATGAAGATGAAAGTGTATATTTATTTTTAGAAAGATTTTATGAGTTGATTCAACCATTTTTGACTATGATAGAATATGCAATACCATTTATAAATTTTAGCCAGTGAATATTACGAACTTATCAATTCTTTAGAGTGACAACCACTTTGAAATATGCATTTGCGAAATGCATCGGAAAATTCACATCATAATCTCTTATACGCCTAGCTCAAAGCCAGCGAGGAAAAAAGCTTCTGTCATTCAAGACAGTTCTAAAATTATTTTTTGATTGCCCAACATTTTTCTTGCCACAGTAACAGATTTCTGGTCAGTATACATTCATGTGTGCTGTATATACCTGAAAGTTTCAGCTACTAAAACTTGACAGCAATGAGTTTGCTTTTCTGTTCCTGCATATGAATCCCAATTTTCCAAGATAGCAACACAATAAAACTTGAAAGGTAGGCTGGTGGTTCCTTGATAAAGTAGCGTACAGCTGAGAATTTGGAGCAGCTAAGGCAATGGCCATAACTGACCACAAAGCTCGACTTCAAGCGATGGCTGGTGATGATTATTATTATTCTTGATTGCAGTACCATTATATTCAGCAACAACAATAAAAAAAGTTCGTGGGAGAAATCAGACAGACAGAAAAAAAAAAAAAAGAAAAGGATCCAATGTCTTTTAATATGGATACGGCTTGTTCTGAAAAATTCATCGTTGGAAACTATAGAGCATCAAAAAAAAGTGTATCGTTGTTCAATGTTCACAAGATAAAGCAAAGTACAGGAAGTTATTTTACAAGCTTGTTGCACAAATTTTAACCAAGATATGAAGCAGTAACAGAAACTGTTTAGGTTGGTGGCCACGTTATAAATTGCAGCTTGCAACTCAGACACACAAAACAGAGAGCACCTTCGTCTTCCCTCTGTTTTGGTCTTATGTGCACACTGCGATTTCATCGTAAACTGGTTGCCAAGAGCACAGATGCAGTAGATTAGCAAATGAAACGAACGATTTAAATTCGTCACCACGCGGCTCAACTATTCAGGACCAAGTTTAAGATCTCAATTTATGGCCAACAAACAACAAGAAAGAAAGCTCAACAAGACGACAGAAGTAACTTGCTTGTTTTCCGGATGACAGCAGGGGTGTATAATGCCGTTCATGTCCAGATATAAATTGTCGAATTCCACATCGTTTGGATTCGGCTTCGTCGTGTCCACAGGGATCTTGACGCCATCGACAACTTGAGGCTAAAGGCAAACAGAACAGAAGGAATGTCAACATGTGCCTCAAATCTTTCAAAGGAGTTTTGTTTTATGCTTATGAAAGACAAAAACGCAGCAACTAGAAGCAAATTGCTCAGGCTGAAAAATTTTTTTCTTTTTACGATTTGAAATTACGTGGTCACAGCTGAATTCCACGTTCACCAGTGCAACAATGATGACAGAGAGACAGCACTTAAGCCATAATGGTGGCTGCATCTTCACTATCCCACATGAATCAAAGCAACTGATTTAGGAGCTTTTTGGATTATTTTAAAATGCTAGCTTAGATTGGTTACAAACATAAGAGGACACATTTAAGAATAAAACGTCCATATGTCATCAAACATAGATTGGTTGATTGACATGTGGAGTTTAACGTCCCAAAGCCACCATATGATTGTAAGAGACATCGTAGTGGAGGGCTCTGGAAATTTTGACCACCTGGGGTTCTTTAACGTGCACCCAAACCTGAGCACATGAGCCTACAGCATTTCTGCATCCATTGGAAATTCAGCCGCCGAGTACCTTATCTACTAGACCACCACAGTGGGGCAACGAACATGAATGTAGCTAAATGTAAGCAAAAGTAAGTTGAAAATGTAGTGTAAATAAAAAATATAACACAGTAGTAAGATATGTGAACTTTTTGACTCATATAAAAGTATTCTACAATACTACAGGGGGGAATACAAGTTACTCATAGAGTACATAATATTACAACATAAATACACCTCCTAAGTTTAATGCCTAAAGAGAACCTGCAACAATTTTCCAAGCAGTCATAGAATTAATTCCGTAAAGGAGCTTACTGCCTCACGAATTTAACCCTGCAAAACTTTTCAGACTCTGTTCAGTATGAGCGGAGTAGCAAAGATTTGTCGCACGCAGCACGATTGCTTACTCTTTTCTCCCGTCCTGACGAAAGCACTAGAGTTAGGCTAAGCAAAGAGGGATGGCAGTGAGGAAAAAATACGTCACGTGCACCTCTTGGGCACATTGTAACGTTGTTTTTTTTTTGCATCAAATGCGTTGATTTTCAAAGCGATCGTGCATGCATGTGCAGACAGGTTACAGCCTTTTGTGGTGGCCCCAGTTACTCCCGAGCATGCCGGGCTTAAATCTGCCAGTGGCGTGACGGTGGCCCGACATGCAGCGATTTTTGGGGTATTTAGGATCGTTTGTCGAGAGAAGAGAAAGCAATTTTTAGCTGACTTTGAGAATTTATAGTGAATTCCAGGCTGCGTGGTGCACAATAATACATGGCTCGTACGTTCTAAGGAGCCTCGACTGCCGAACGGAGGCATTTTCTGATCATACTTGAAAAGTGTTGCAAGGCCCCTTTAAGCCTCACTACTTGAAAACATGCATGTATAATAAGCTAACTTCTAATTATCAATTGTTAAATTGAGTAATCACTTTCATTTTGAAAAGACAAGACATTGCAAGAAAAGTGCTTTACGATGACCAAAAATCTTGAAGGGCATTACTAATAGAGATGCGTCCACGTTTTACATTTCATAAAATGAACTTTTAAAAACATATACGTCAAACTCATCTAAACTGGCAAAAGAGTTGACCCAGTCTTGGCCGTCTTGGCCCTTTTTTACTTGTGACCTTCCCCCCTTTTTTTCTTGGAACCTAACTCACCTTTTCTTCAACGCAGTGGGCAACTATGGATGGATACTTTCTACTCAGCCATCTAAAGAAGGCTGGAACTCCCATCTTTTACCTGCAAAGGTTAAAAAAAAATGTTTACAACAAAAAAAAAACTCAGTTTTGTACAATGGATGAAGAGAGAGCAGCTGAGACAATCTGTAATATGATACTGAACAGAGCCAGAAATAAGAGAAACTTGAAAAATTAAAAACACACACATGCAAACAATAACATGGACAAAAGCTTCAAAGTTTGAAATCGCAAACCCAAAGTATTGACAACCAATTTTTTATGGTACCTCTTTTCTTAATTTCAACGGAAGGCTTACTGGTCAGGGCATTTATTTTTGGAATGCAGAGGAATAGATTTTGTGGATTAGTATAACAGGCTTTTTCTGGAATGAACAATGTATTAAATGGACACTAAAGAGAAACAATGACTTAGTTTACGTAAGCACACTTAACTATGTGAACTCTAATGCCACATGTTGCACTTCATTATTATTCATTATTAGTGAAGAAAATCAAGGTTGAAGTTTCATTTTTGAATTTCATACCGACATCTTCCCGCATGATGCCAAAATTTTGGAATGCATATTTTGTACTTTTGTGGAATTTAAGTTTTTTGAAAGTTTGTACGCTAGGTCCATCACACCAACACATGACAACATACCTCTCTTTCATCAATTAGAAGCTACGTAGGACCCAGCAGACTCTTTCGGAATCAATCGCATCATAGATAACATTTGATTGATATGGGGTTCAACATCTTAAAACCACCATATGATAATCAGAGACGCCGTAGTAGAGGCCTACAGAAATTTCGACCACCTGCGGTTTTTTTAATGTGTACCCAAATCTGAGCACACGGGCCTACAGCATTTTCGCCTCCATCGAAAATGCAGTCACTGCAGCCAGGACTCCCGCAACCCACAGGTCAGCAGCCGAGTACCTTAGCCACTAGACCATCGCAGCGGGGCTCAATGGCGTCATGGTGTTTGGTGCGGAACTTTCAAGGTGACGTGTCCACCTGCACTTTCTTTTCGTGTGTTTTCCCGCTTACCAAGCATTGTGTCACAGGTAAAAATGGTTTTTCCGGGATTAAAATACTGTAGTTTACTGATACACAAAAAATCGTTGCTCTATTTAGTGTCCCTTTAACACTAAATGCCAGGAAAAAAGATGTTTTAGCAACGACAGAAATTTCTTCAAGTGTTCCTCAATGTCATGCCTGGCATTACGAAATCCCTGCTGCTTTAAAGTTCCAAACAATTACTTGTGATTCCGCATCCGATATCCTTTGCAGCTTGAAACTTCCTTTTCTCATTGTGTGCTCTCAGTTGGAAAACTTTTTCTTTCTAAATTTTGGCTGCCAAGTTGAAACTGCCGCCCTTTCACGACTCTATATGATAGTATATTGACGGATATCATGATGCAAAACAAAGACAATGAGCACTGGAAGGACACCCAGCTCTCCTGAACCTTCCACAGTATTCTACTAGTAGCACCTGCATTTAAATGTGAGCTTTCTCACATAAAGGAAACCCAACAATAAACAGCTGAAGGGCAAAAAGGTAACAACAAACTAAGGAAACAATGAGGACAAGCACTAACTTCCCACTAAAATGTCATTACAGAGCACCAAGAATAAATATGTGTCATGTGACATCACGATCATATCAATCAATGTACAAAGATAAGCAAAAAACTAAGCAGCAGTGAATTTACATATGAAAACCACGTGCCAGTGAGTTCAAGTAATCTAGTTCTTTTTTTGTTAGTGTGACGATGGCTTGCTGATGCAGCTTTGATTTGGTATTGCCACCGCCTCAATGATGAGCCTTACACTCTCGTTAGTGTGAGTAGCCAACATAGTTCTTCTATCAAACGGTGGCTCGCACTTGCATTCTGCGCAATGAGTTGTCAGGACATTATCAGATCCCCTTTTCTCTTTCTGGTGAGACGTCCCCCGCTACGCCACCGATCGCCAAAGAGAGGGAAGAACACTCAACCCTTTTTCTACCCGGTTCCCTCTTGGCTACGTGTCTCAATCACTTTCCACATCCAGGGATTCGTGCTGGGGCCGGGAAGTAAGAGACGCTACGACCGGTTTCTGTTTACTGGTTCATTTAATTTAATACTAACTGCAAACATCGTAGAACCGCGCACATCCACCACTACACAAAATTATAACACATGATTTAAGCACTCGCGACATTCGACACAGGGCAGGCACATAAAGAAAGTACTTGTAACAACACAAGGTTATGCATATATAAAGCAAACACACGACGACACAGATGATAAAGTCATTAATTAACAAAACCGCGCAATGTCCCAATTTGCCGCATCCCTACCCGCAAAGCTCATTTAAGTAAGGGAGATGAAGTTCGTCTCACAGACTGTCCATGTTGACGGGGGCCTCGGAGCTGGCTGTTCAAGTTGGGGCTCAGGGCTTCTTCCTGGTGTCATTGTCCGATTCGTCGGCGCCTTCGTCGTCTTCGTCATCGTCGCCTTCGTCGTGCCTCTCAGAATGCTCCATTCACTCGCCTCCTATCCCCAACTTTCATCCCTCATCGTACCGTCTTTGCCCCAGTCATCATCTCATCGCTCCTCATCGCTATCTCTTCCCACCGTTATCTTCGTTTTCCATTCCGTCTTTCTACCATCTCAATCTCAACGCTCCGTCTCTCTCCGACTCTTCACATCGTCTCTCCGGCTCTCCAGCTCGTCTCGTAGTCCCCTTTTCGTAGGACCCGACTCCGCCCTACCGGGGCACCAAACCAGTTCGCCACTCCACGCGGCATATCTTTTCTTCTCAGTCCGAGTGTATCCTCTTCGGCGGCCGCCCCCGCGGCCTACACCAGTAGAAAACCCTCTCCCAAACAAAGCCGAGCAAGTAACAAGGTACAAACTCAAGCCTTAGGGAGAGTGATGGGCGAGCCGTCCGATGACACTTTAATTACGGGCGAACAATGGTCCCGATGTTTTCGGTACTTGGTGAGCTGATGTCGAGACCAAGTCTCAACGTTTCTATGCAGCTCGGTGTCTCCCACGAAATTCTCCGCAGCCGCCGCCTCCTCGTCGTTCACCGTCGCGGGCGGCCATCCGCGCAGAACGCAGTAAGAGCCCTGGCGCCACGGAGACTGATGGAAAGGCATAATGGACCCGGCACAGGCGCTTGCCACAAAGATCGCTTTCCCCGAACCAACAAAAGGTGTTATGCTGCTCCCCCATGCCACAGATCTGAAGGGTGCGCGCCGATTATTGTACTCTGTCACATCGTCTGTAGACGACAAGGCGCCGCCCGGTCCTCGTGTCCGCGCGGGGGAGTCCGTGAGGATAATAGAAACAATCCTTCTGGTACTTAACTCCGGAATGCCCTCTATGCGTGGGTTTGAGAAACGAGCACACACATCTCGAAAGGAGCGGGGTTCAGTCCGTGTTTGCGGGGACGTCACACTGGTTATGTTCAAGTCATCGCACAATTAAGCATCTGCCTGACTGTCTGACATAGACCGCAGGGGCAGGGTACTTCATATACTGCCTTCTTCACAAATTGAACAAACTTATTCCGGTGCTTACTTTTGCACTTGTTAGGAGGCTTTCTTACAGGATTAGTTTTTGCACATAACTGCGACAACTTATTCGACGCAAAAAATACCACAGAGACGCCCGCCCTCTCACCAATCCTTAAATTGTGTGAAATTCCGTGCAAGTATGGGATCACAGCCACCTTCTTACTCACGGCTGCCTGAGAAACAGTGCACGTGGCACTGACATTTGAGTCTGTTCGCAGTTATTCTGATGCAGATACCAGCAAGTGGCTAGGATGCTCAGTTGCTCTCAAACGAGCTATCTGTCCTCTGGAACTTTCATGCATTGAATGATCCATGACTTCGTGAGTGCGTTGTGCAAACAAGCACAAACAATATCGCACTTGACCAGCTTGCTATGAGCTGAGGCGAAAGGCAACGAAGGTTTTCTAGAACGAGGCTCGTAGCTCTAACATATGTGGACACTTGAAAACGATAGCTTCAGGTCCAAGAACCTCAGGGATCCATTTTTGGTGATCTCGTGCGTCAGAGTGAGTGGTGTTAGGCAATCTTTGAACAGCGTCAAAGCCTCTTAGAAGGAAGATTCGCAAATTAAATCATCACAGGTAAATAAAATCAAATAATTATCAACAAACCGTAAGTATTTGCCGACATTTGTCTCGTGCAAGCGTTTTTGAACCTTCCTATCCATGTGGGCCAAAAAAAGGTTACCAAGCAATGGAGCTATACGGAAACAATAAGTTTGAACAAACCAGTTGTTTGATAAAACAACTGTGTTGGCTGTTCACTTTAACGAGAGTGTAAGGCTCATCATTTGAAGCGGCGGCGATAGCAAATCAAACCTGCATCAACAAGCCATCTGTCGCACTAAAAAAAAAAAAAAAAGATAACTTGAATTTATGGTTTTTTATGTAAATTCACTGCTGGTTAGTTTTTTTTCCTTATTTCTGTGCATTGATTGATTTGATTCTGATGCCACGTGACAGGTATATACTCTTGGTGCTTTGTAATAAAATTTTAGTTGGAAGCTAGCGCTTGTCTTCGTTGTTTACTTAAGTCCGTCGTTACCTTTTTGCGCTTCAGTTGTTTACGGTATGGAATACCAACTAGCCCGCTCCACCACCTTGCCTCAATGATAAAGGCGGGTGTTGTGGTTACTTAACGGCAACATCAGAAGACACAACCAAGATGGTGCCACCTATATAGGCTTTCAGACATGAGAACTAACAGACAATAATGCCAAGGAAAATACAGGGGATGTTATCATAAGTAAATCCGCAAAATTCTGACCGCCACTGTACAAGCGGCTGAGCGGTAAAAAAAAGTATGACAGCACAAAAGAAAAAAAAAAACTACATCAAAGTACAAAGTTCAAAACCAACATTTTAAATTTTAGCTCACGAAGAAAGTATGAAACGTATGCCTGCAACAAGAAATATCAAAACCTTTTAGCATATTTAACGTGGAGGGCGAAGTTATTCTTAGCATCTGGGCCCCATAGTTTGTGCGTGGTGTTCTTGTTTCAAACTTTTTTATGAGCAATAAGGGACACACACAAAAAAGGGTATTCGGCTAACTCTGATAGATTTGCAAGAACTGGAATGTTCTGCATTTCGTATTCTTATCTAAGAACAACGAGTAAGCTATAAGGTTTAAAAACCGTAGTGAGCATTAAAAACACATCGCCATGACTACTAATTAACGCCCCATTTTGCTCAAACTATTACGTTTTAGCGTTTTCTTTTTCCCACGTATTATAATGGAGCTAAGCCGCCACGTAGATACTTGTGCCAATTTCTTGTATTATCCCCATTTTACGCAATATTTTCAAATGTCATCTCAGTGTTCTTGCTTTATCTTCCGTCATGCGCCTGTCGCGATTTCACCAATCCATAATCTGCAGCATGCAACAAACAAAAGTTTTCTTTTCTTTTTTTCAGATGTCTGTCGGTTTTTGAACTACTTTGCAGACGGCTTAACAACCAAGATCCCCGTCTTACGTAATATTTTTTCATGCTAACACTGGTGATTCTGCTTTATCTTGCCTCTTTAGCCTGTCGTGCTTGGACCGATTCTTGGTATGCAGTGCGTCATAAATAAGTTATTGCTTAAGTGTTTATCGGTTCTGGAACTACGGAGCAGCTAGGTAAACAAGTGACAGTTATCGAGCTCACGCGGAACGAATATCGCCATCATCTGCGACGTCTCACATGTAACAGCTGTTTGTTTACCGTTTTCAAAGCGAACGCAAGTGAAAAAGAAAGCAAATCACCCGAGCCGCAACCCGCAAATGCGAGGCTTGCGCGACTGTACACACGGTTTCCCTTCAAAACCACCAAGAAAACATGCTACCAATCAGGCTACAACGCTCGCATCGGTTCGCACTTTCACGTACCTGGTTAAGAAGGGAGTCCAAACCTTCGCAGTTCTTTTTCGAGATAATCCAGTCCAAACTTACACCACTGGCATAACCGCGAACAACGCTACGACCACCGCGACACGGAACCCCGGTGGAACAAGCCAACCAGCCAGCCAGAGCCAGTTAATGCAAGCCAAAATTGATTAGAGGGGTATAGTGTACTATCATATGGGGTTCTAGTACACTATAACAACGTTACTGGATGACTATAAGTAGAGTGCACTAGAAGATGTGAGCGCCCGCATGCGCACTATAGCGTAGCGGCCTATCTAATCGGCAGCGCCACCTGCGGCGCCTTTACTCAGATAAACTCCCAGCCCAAGCGAGGGCCGGGGACACGTTTTATCAATCTCGCTCCCGCCTCCGGCGCGGTCGGCACGTTTTCATGTTCGAATAAAGCGCATTCTTCTCGTTCACAACGCCTCTCAGCCTTCATGCCTAGCCCGCCCAGCCCTCACAACTGGCGCAGTCGACTCCGAACCATGCCTGGAACGTCGCCTTTTGCCCGCCTCGTGAAGTGATCCGCCGGACTAGCCGCGCGGCGCTCCGTCCTGTGTTTACCGTCCGCCGCCCGATACGCCTTTCGGCCGCTTCGTCCGAGTCATTTCGTGCCTTTGCCTTTTGTTTCGCCGACCGTCGTGCTGACGCCCACCCGCCCGATGAAGTAGCTCGCCTGCAGAGCCGAACCAACTTGACCTGCCCGCCTTTTTCGTCTCTCGTGAGTCTTGTGCTCCTTCTGCTAATTTCTTGTGAACGCCATGCCGCTTGTGAACTGGAACGAGGCTACGCCTGAGGACCTCGCCGGCTTTACAGCAGACTTCCTCCGTGAAGAGTTGGTTCGCCGAAACTTGGACGCTACGGGGCCGAAGGAAGAAGTGATCAATCGTCTCCTCGCCGATATAGCCCAAAACCGCTCAATGACGCCTTTGTCGCCTTCCCCAGATTCCTCAGCGTCCAGCCAGCGCCCGAACACTACGCCGCTTCCTTCGAGCTTCGATGCAGCCCAAAGTACCGAGTTGCTGACGGGTTTACTTCAACAGCTCCTTCAAGTGTCACAACGCGCTGCAGCGCCAGTTCAGGTCACGACCCTTCCAGACCTGTCCGCATCGCTTCCTACATTTAATGGAGACGGCAGCATTTCAGCGTCCCACTGGATTGAAGAGTTGGAACGAACTCGAAACCTAGCTTCGTGGGAGCCTTCAACCGTACTCGCCGTCGCTCTGGGAAAGCTCCGTGGAGCAGCCGCGGATTGGAAAGCAGTCATTGGCCGTCAGTGTCCCACCTGGGACGCCTTCAGGCAAGCTTTCTTGGATCAATTCAGCGCCAAGCAAACCTTACTACAGTGGCAACAAGCTGTTACTTGTCGCGTGCAAGCGCACGGAGAGAACCTGGTCCACTATTCTTTGGCGAAGTTGAAGCTCATTTCGGGATGCCCAGTCACTCTTACCGACACTCAGCGCATAGAGTACGCCCTTCAGGGCATTTCCGACGAGAACCTGGCCACTACTATAGCAGCACAACGGCCAGAAACCGTCGCCGCCTATATGGACATCGTAACGCAGCTTGACCAAACATTGAGCCACTTGTCTCGTCGACTCCCACGCCCAGGGTATTCAAGCACCAAACTAGTAATGCCAAGCCCACAGGTGCCCCACCACAGTGAAGAGCGCACGAATGTTCAGGCGGTACCAGACAAAACAAGACAGCCGCAGCGAATCGCAGCCCTACCACCAGACCAACAAGAGGCTCGGTACCTGACCATCTCTACGAGGCACGGCGCTCCTGCCTACCGTTCTGGCCAGAACTTGGCCGAAGCCGTGTGTTTTCAATGCCGCCAAAAAGGACATCTAGCTTCAAAGTGCCCATCCAGAGCTACTGTCACACAGTCTACAACGCATCCTTCGCCAGCTCTTCACAGCACACTTTCCGAGACCCTTGATGGATCGCTGGTCCAATGCGCCCTTGTAAACGCCACAATTGCTGGAAGCGGCCAAGTGGACGCATTTCCAGACAGTGGTTCCAAGGTGACACTTGTTTCTCGTCACCTTGTCAGATCTTTGCCCCTCCTGCCCTGGACCAGACCCCCTCTAGTTGTCGTTGGAGGAACGACAGTGGCTCCTGCTGGTGCTATCTGCTTGAAGATCTCTGTGGGACCCATCACCGGTTTGGTGGAAGCCGCCGTCCTCGATAACAATGCCATGCCACTTATATTGGGGGAAGACTGGTTTGCTGCCAGTCACGCACAGTTGGTGTTCCAGCCACCCATGCCAACTGAAATTCGTCATCCCACCACAGGAACAAGTGTGCGGTGCTATGAGCGACTGTTGCCCAGGATGTCGAACGCTGTTATGATCCAGGGGTCATCTTTCAATTACCATGTATCTGGACACCACAGCTCAGCAGGCCTCCAGCGAATGCCACTCCCAGGCCCAGATGAACCCCCGTGGTTAGCACTATCTTGTCAATATGAGGTTTCAAACACCAACGGCCCGTCTTCTGAATGCAGGCGAGGTGCTTCTTCAACAATAGAGGTTTGCATTGACCCATCCTTGCCTGCCGCTCAGGTTGGTAGCCATTTGCCAGCACACCAACAACGGGAAATCACGAGCATTCTTTCGAAGCACGCTGAAGTATTCGCTCGTGAAGAGGATGACTTAGGTCTGTACGAGGGTGTTGAACACTCAATCGACCTTCTTCCCGATGCTGTGCCATACAGTCGATCCCCTTACCGTTACTCGGCTGCAGACCGTCGTTTTCTTGAGGCTCAAATAAGCACACTCCTTCGGCAAGGCATCATTCTACCAGCCTTAGGACCTTGGGCATTCCCCGCAGTGGTTGTCAGCCGAGGTAGCAAGAAGCGCCTTTGTGTTAACTATGTGCCCCTAAACAAGATGACTGTGAACGTCGTGCAACCACTTCCACATGCGGATGACATCATGGATGACATTGCTGGGTCACAGTACTTCGCCTGCCTTGACCTAAAGTTTGCTTACTGGCAAGTTCGCGTTCGTAAGGAAGCACAAGGGAAACGGAAGACAGCATATGATCAGTCCCATCGAGACCACTCCTTCCAAGTCGGCCAGTTCGTCTGGGTGCGCCGCCAAGAGCCTGTAGCAGATGGAACTGGAAAGTTGGCACCCAAATTCAAGGGAATATACCAAATCACCAACCAGAAAACACCCGTTACGTTTGTCGTTAGCCGCGTAACTGGTCAAGGTCCTCGTGATCGACTCCAAGACAGGATAGTGCACGCCTCTCAACTCAAGCACTACGTGCCACCTTATGTCGAGCCTTACATTGTGAAAACCCAAGAGTGGCCTTTGTGTGACTTATCTGGCTCTCCCAGTGTTGGCAATGAGTTATCTCAACCACCAGTTTCCCTTGGCCCTGCAGTTTTGCCTCCAGCGGTACCCTCCTCGCGACCTCACCGCCAAAAGCGCCCACCCGAGCGCTTGAAGGACTATTCTCTCTCGCAGTGAAGCCACCAAGTAGTGCTCCTTTCCTAGACCAATGGGACTTGGTCAGACAAGGAGGGGCCGGATGTGAGCGCCCGCATGCGCACTATAGCGTAGCGGCCTATCTAATCGGCAGCGCCACCTGCGGCGCCTTTACTCAGATAAACTCCCAGCCCAAGCGAGGGCCGGGGACACGTTTTATCAATCTCGCTCCCGCCTCCGGCGCGGTCGGCACGTTTTCATGTTCGAATAAAGCGCATTCTTCTCGTTCACAACGCCTCTCAGCCTTCATGCCTAGCCCGCCCAGCCCTCACAACTATCATATGGGGTTCTAGTACACTATAACAACGTTACTGGATGACTATAAGTAGAGTGCACTAGAAGCTTAGTACACTCTACTATAAGAGAGGCAAAGAAAGGCAAAGATCAGAGCACGGTGTATCAGAGCTAAAAGACTTAGTGGTTATGCAACATGACGTTTTTGTGTAAAACTTATTATTTAAATTGCGCAATAACATAAGCACTGACAAATAACGCTAAAATAAAAAAAAAGTAATTTCACACACAAGTTTGGTTTTATTCAGTAAATAAGTATACGTTACGACGCTATAATTCTACAGTGGTTCAGTTTGAAGTTTTAAAAATCCGCTACGATCCGAGATCGAAGTCAAGCCGTGTACATCAAAATGGCGACGCACAAGCAGTCACTGTCGCTCTGATGCAGCCTGCTTGGAACTTTCGGTCACAGGTGCTGCTCTAAAGAGTGATGCGCAGTTATAAATTTCAATAGTTCTACCGCGAAAAATAATGACGCCGGCAAACGATTTCCACGCTTGCTGCGTCGACGAGATAGCGTTGGAAGGACTGGACGGCATCACGCTACAAGCGCTATGGGTCCGCTTGCAGATGCGTCCGAATTTCCCATTGTCTCTGGACAGCAAGTCCAAGGCGTTCATGTGGCGTTCACTGCTCCCGGACACCCGACTCAGCTTCTACGTTCTCGGCAAGCCCCGTATAGACCTCGTCGTCTACGACCGGTACAAAAACGTGGATGCCAACACGGGTTACGTGGTAGAGCCGAAGAACCTACCGCCGGACCCGTACCCCTTTAAGATGATCAACAAGAACGGTCTGATGGGATCGTGCAGCACGTTTGAAACTCGCGCCAACGTCACCGACGAAATCCGGCGGAGTTCGCCTACGCTGGACGACGTCGTCTCCCGGTGGGACAAGCGTTTGGTGATCGTTGCCGACCAGTTCACCCGTAGCAGGGCGCTGCTTGGGCCCCACCACGCGATGACCGACTTGGACCTGACGGACATCAAGTACTGCATGCTAGAGCGCATCGGCCGCTCGCGTTACTTGGGCCAGACCACGCAGGGGCAGCTGGACATGCGCGTGTTCAAGCTGACGCACGCCACCATGTTCATACTGCGCAAGCAACTGGTCCAGCGCAACCTCATCACCAAGCAGGAGTTCTGCCTGAAGGTAGAAGGCAGTAACAACCGGTTCGGTTTCCTGCTCCACCTGCCACGCTTCTACGTCGAGGTCAAGACCAAAACGCAAATAATGGCCCGCGAGATGTGCGCCCTGTTGGCCAGCAAACCGAACAGGCGTGAGGTGACCTCCAAGCTTTTGGCCGAGCTAGGACTTACTACCGTGTCGGCCAAGAAGATCTTCCACGGCGCGGCATCCAAGTACGTCACACGGCGCACCGTGCCTTACGGCGAGTACTATCCAGACTCGTCCCGCGAGGAGAGGTACAACAAGAACAACAAACAGCGCATCGTTCGATTCTGCGAGCTCGTCAAGCCTTTCGTCGAGGAGGCGGAGGAAGAAGAGGAAGATCCCGAGGACGACAGCACTAACAAGAGCGTGGGCCTCTTCTTTCACCCGCAGAGGTACGTGTACGACCGGACGAGGTTGAATCAGGCCCACAAGCGGATATACATGGCTGGCTTGGCTGGAACGACAATGCGTGAACTGTCAATAGATATGATGACTACCCGGCTTGAGGCCAGAAACATCTTGAAAGCGTTGAGGAGGAGACAGCTTATTGTACCGTACAGAGAGGACATGGGCAAGCAGCGTGTGCTAAGGTACTTTTGCCCCGAGTTTGCTAAAAAGTCCGAGGTGCACAAAAAGCTTGCAGCTGAAAAGAAGCGCATGCTGGAGCAGCCAAGGGTCGAGCCAGTGCCTGCCAAGAAGCGCAAGTCCGGTACTCCACCAGCAGAAGTGGTGGAGACTGCAGAAGGTCAGGAAGGAACAAAGCAAGCTACAGAAGCAGTGGAAGCAGCTGAATTGGCAGCAGCAGCAGGTGCCAGCACAGTAAATGAGGTGAGGGAAGAAACCGAGAAGAGGGCAGACAGTGCTCCTTCATGCTCATCTACCAGCGATAGCTTGCCCGGCAGCAGCACAGGCTCTCTCCCTTGTGAGCAGCCCACCGTCACAGTAGAAACCAACAGCGAGTGCTTTTTCCGGAAAGTGAGTACGCAGGCTTCCATAAGTTTCATGAACGGTGAAGATGTACCGTGTCGAAAGCCCTTGCAAAGGCTGCTCCCTTCCCACAAGATGCTTGCGAGGGCAAACAGGATCATTGAGTATGTCCAGGTGGAGAAGGTGCTCTCGGACTTCACTAAGCTGCTCAGAGCCCTGCAGAAGATTGAAGAGGAAGAAGGCTCGACAATGAAGCTAGGACAAGGTGTCTATCGAGCGTCTCATCTCCAAGCTCTGTAGCAGTGGCTATCTCAAGACCATCCACACTGTCCTTGAGACTGGGAAATAATGTGAAGGACATCAAGCTGATTTGCATGCCATCTATCACCAAAGACGACGAGATCGTCAAGGCACACATTGAGCAGGCGAAGTTCAAGTTCTTCCAGTCTGCACCAAAGGAGCCTAAGAAGCAAGAAGCAAAAGCAGTAACCGAACCCAGTCCCTGTTCCAAGATGACTTACAACCCTGCCATGGGGCGCTTTTACGGAGTGCAGCCGAAGTTCCGCAGGATGCACCTCTGCTATGCCTTTATGCATTATCTATTATACAGCTATGAAGGTGCTGCCCAGGACCGTTCATCAGAAGATCCTTCGATCCCCACACAGTACCATCATGAGATTGGCTGGAAGATGTTTGTTCCTCCGCTGTCAAAGAGTCCGAGCACGCCAGAGGGATGGGTCTTGTTTGCAGATGTCCTTCTCTCGCTGCCGCTTTCCATCTTTGTCAAGATTGCAAGCTCAATCAGGCATAAGATTGAAGGGCTCGAAGAGTACCTTGATGATAAGGTCAAGTGTCACTACCTCGTTCGAAATCTTCCTGTCAAGCTGAGAAATGCTCTGCTCTTTGCTAGGAGGTACATCTACTCCATTCATGAGACAATGAAGAGGCTGGCATTTGTGGGCATGATCACTTTTGGCCCTCAGCGGCTTAAGGAGAAAGACCAAGTCTTTCTTTATGTGCACAGGAACTTGCGCATCAAGGACACTAAAATTTCTAACCCAGGTTACCACCAGGTGTCGGCCGATATCAAGTATCCCGTTAAGCAATTCTTTCTTCGAACTCAGCAAGAGGTCGAGCACTTCTGGCTGGAAGTCGAGAGCACATGCGTATGCACTCCTCTTGGAATGGCACAGTCAATACTTGGTCAAACCATTGAGCTTCAGAATTTGTACAAGAAGCCAGCCATGATTGAAGCCTGCAAGAACAGAGAATTTGGAGAGGAGAAAGATGATGGCACGGTGCCTGGCGACCAGCTTGGAGCAGCTGGTTTTGATTCTGCCCTCTTTGCACATCTCAAAAGAAACTGGTCTCCTGCCGAGCAGATTCCTGCAAAGGTGAACACATCCATTAAGGAAAACAAAAAACCAAGCCCAAATGGTGCTAAGCCTTTCCAGAGACTTCTGAGCTATTTAGACAGAGCATCTAAGAACACTGGGAGTACGCTTCCACAGAAACACAGCCATAAAAGGGCTCGGAGTTCAATTTCTCGCATGTCAGTCTACTACCCGAAAGAACCAGATAGCAAACCATTGGCAGTGCCTGTTGTGAAAGGAGCTACAAAAGTTGTAGAGCACCAGCCTAAGAAAAAAGTTATGCAGCGAAAGAAGTCTGACATTACTTTGAGGGTTGTCAAGCCAAGGAAGCTTTGCTCAGCTCGCAAACCTTACTATGATGACAAAGACCAAGCTGCTTTGAAGGCTATGAAGACCATGCGTGTTTCGTGGTCATCGCAGGAGGACATTGTTTTGCTTATGTGCAAAGTTTGTTCATGGTTTCTGGACCGTCATTTGGACAAGATGGTGGTGCCATTCACTGTAGTTAGGGACATCCTCAATGAGCGCTTTCCCGAACTGAGCAAGGACAAGACCTCTCGAGCTTGTCAGAGGCGAATGCGATTCATGTTACTTAACCCAGCTACCAAGGCTAATGCTTTGGTCTTCCTCTGCGAAGCACAGCACGACCAAGAGCTCATGGAAATGTTCTATGGTCCAAAGCCAGTGAAATCAGATGAAAAACAGTGGGTGACTATGTTCAGAACTGTCCTCAATCATCTGATGAAAAAGTTCAGCAAGAGCTCAGAAGAGAGGCACAGGGAGGTCACCCTTCCCACTAGTATTGGTGAGCTGAAGAACCGCTACGAGGTTGTTGTGCCGGGCCACGCCGAAGTGGACAGCTGGTCTTTTGCCGAGCCTCAAAATCTTGTAGACATACACTTCAGCTCTGTTGCAATGGTGATCCTGGCCTCAATCGCAGCTGACGACGGCAAGAGTAACTGGTCCTTGACACTTTACAAGATTTATGAGCAATACCCGGACAATCTCATTCGCTCTGTGACCGCTCGACTGAGGCACAACGGCATCATCTGTAAAAAGCACCCAAACACCAAAAAACTGTACATCTCTCTCAACCTCTCCATGCTGCCATTCACGCTGTCTAACAAGTTCAAGTTTGAAATGGCACGGCGCTACACACCAGAGCACATAGCTTCAATGGGGAAACTTATGCTCGAACTTTTGGCCAAGCGCCAAAGTGGTGAGTCATATACATTTGAAGATGATATTGAGCCAGCGTATGCACCTCTGCTTTTCACACTGTTGCTGTCAAAGAAGCTCGGTTACTCTATGGAGGTACCTGAGGCAATAGTTGATTTTGACTCCAGCATGACTCATGGGAAAGTGCCCCTGCTAAATGAAGAACTCGGAGAAGATGAAGACAATGACTCCCAGGGGGAAGACATCTTTGAGAACAGCGACACACTGGCCACCAAGGCGAAAAGCCTCAACTTCGCGACATCTGGCGGCAATGTCAAAACATCTCGTTCATTCCTTTACATGCTCAAGCATAACATGAAAAAAGTGCTTCGGTTCAATACTCTGCGCCCTCAGGACTATGCAATTGTGAAATCGTGCAAGGTAGACTTCTTTCTCACCAGTGAGGACCTCGTCCCTGGCTGGACCCTTGAGGAGCCCACAGACAAGTCTTATGCTCTGAAAGTTCGTAACCCTTTGTATGACAAGATTGTGCAAGAACAACGTGTCTGCTATAGCTTGGATACAGCGAACCACTGCTGGACAGCAGAAAGTATCACAGATGCCTACAGACAGGCGGCAAAATCTCTGGAAGAGGCCCAGATTGGAGCTGAAATTTACTCTGTCATTCTGAAGAAAGAACAACTTGGCATCACCTATGCTCAGCTCTACGACACCTTCTGTTCAACCATGAGAAGTGTCACCCTGGAATCTCACCTTGATTTCTTGGTTGAGAGAGAAATGATATTGCGTGTCGGAGTGACATGCCTTCGATTTGTTGCACTTCAGCACAGCAAACCTTGGGTGATCCGCTCTTTCAAGATCCCCAAAGAAATGCGTGCCTACACCTCGGCTCTGGGAGAACAAGAGCATGCGCTGAAAGTGAAAATGAGAAAGGTAACAACGAGTGAAACTGCCAGTTTATTGAGCAGTGAAGTGAAAAAGGCTGCTGAAAGTGGTGTGGACGGCAGAGCAACTGCTGCAGCAAATCCACAAGACTTCACAAGTCCTGAACCTTCGACATCATATGCTTCAGAGAGTGCCGGCCAAGGATGCAGCGAGGATCCCAGTACTAGTCGCGACGATCGACACGAAATCGAATCAAGGAATGCAGGCTGTCGTCGGGCGAGGGACAGCAACAGCAGCTGCCTGAAGCGAACCTATTATGAGGCGATAACCAAGAATATCAATGTGGATGCATTCGAAAAGATAATGTACGTTCCGAGAATCTGGCGAAAGCCTGACGGAACCCTGAACCGTCCTGCATTTCTGCAGCTCTTGTCGGCGATTCTGTCCTACATATTGGACCATCCTGGTGTGAGAGAAGAGGACTTCAAATCCAAGTTCTCCCGTAAGATGGAGCCGTGCGTGCAGATGCTGGAACTGCTGCGGATTCTCGAGAGCTTGGGTTGCATCAAGCGATTTTTCATGAGGCCAGACACTACAACCAGGTGCAGCCTTTTCTCCAAGCGGCGCCAAGTGATCACCAGTGACACGTACTGTACAGGCGATGTTGTCTGCTATACGGGAACACTTGATGCGCTTGTGAACTTTGCGGCTTTTGCGGTATATTTCCAGAAATAGCTGAATATGACAGTGCGTGCTCGACGCGCCCCACTGTGTCAGTGTAACATAGGATTGTCTCGACGAAACGTACGAATTCTTTTCTAGATTACCTGAAAGGTGCCTTTGTCTCCTGTACAAACACAATAAAATAATCAGCGTGAATTGCCTGGTGCGATTATAATTGGCTATGCAAGTGGCTTAACAATGGCTGGAGAGCACTCTGTCACCTATGTTAAAACTCACTAAGTGCCTGAATGTGCGGGCATGCTTGCTAGATATATTTAAAGGGAGATGCGATTTGAGATGCCTAGTGCAATGAAATTCATGCTGTTTATATAAAATGTTATGATGATTTCAAATGTGTAATCATTTCTATAGTAAGTTGCATAGTTTTCGTATTGTGGCATGACATTGTGTAAAATGTAGCTCTTTTTCGATGCACTTTCTTTATGCCACAAAACTCATATAATTATGAGTCATTAATGCCTGATACTAATAGTGAATACACTTTATAAGCGACCTCAAACCATCCACCGCCGTCGGCGGCGTCCTGCAGTCTTCTCTATATCATTAAAAGAAAGAGGACTTGGCGGGCCGCAGCGCGACGCTCTACCGAATAAGCCACGGACGCGACGCTGATATCGGTGTCAGTAACGCGCCTTATATCTTTAACGCCGCTGCGCGCGTCCCCCTCACCCTTCGCTCTCTCCTCCGCTCTCCTCGCTCGCTGCAGCTGCGCGCGCACCCCTCTCTCTCGCGCGCCCGCCTTCTCTCTCAGTCTCCCGTCGAGAGCGGGTCGTGCGATGGATGTCCCGGAGGCAACGCTACCATCAACAACGAATGGAGTACAACCGAATGCCAGCACTAAACCCGTCGTTGGAGGTGACGGTACTGCGGTGATTTCGCCGACGTTGGAAGACAAGGCGGCGCTGCGAAGGGCTCGTGAGACCGAACGTAAGCGGGCGAAGCGTGCAGCAGATGCCGAACTGCGTGCTCGCGAGGCCGAGTGCAAGCGGGCGAAGCGTGCAGCGGATGCCGAACTGCGTGCTCGCGAGGCCGAGGACAAGCGGGCGAAGCGTGCAGAGGATGCCGAACTGCGCGCTCGCGAGGCCGACATGAGGCGTCAGCATTCGAGCCGCGAACGCGGCCCAAGAAGCGGAACGACAATGCAAGCATCAGGCGGAGAAGGGCGATGAAGGCCGGCGTCAAGACGCCGCTCGCAATCGTCCACGGTGAGTGGACGTTCCCGAAGCCGTTCGAGCCAGTGAATGTGCCGCGCGGGAGAGGGTGCGAGCCCTGGACTTTGCTCGTCCGGACGCGCGTTTCAAACGCGACTTTGTGGATCGCAGCTTCGGTCACAGCTGCGCCGTGTGTGACCGGCTGTGGTTCGATAACAACCTGAGCTGCATTTCCGGCGTGAGGAACGAGACCAACAGGTTGAACGCGTTGCGGGTTCGTTGGAACGAGTTCGGAAGATGGTCGGGCGAACACCGATGCAACGACATGGATGCGCAAGACCCGCGGCTGGCTCCCTTCGGTGCGTTCCGGGTGTGTGCGTCTTGCCGAGAGTCCCTGCTGGCCGGGCGGGTTCCGCCGTTGAGCAAGAGCCACGGCTACGCGTACCCGCCTCGTCCCGCGGACCTCCCCGATCTGAACCCGGTGGAAGAGCGCTTCATCTCGCCTCGACTCCCCTTCATGAGCATCAGGCGACTCACGCGGGGCAGCGGTCAGTCTACACCAGTGCCTACTCCGGCGATGCCGTCCTGGTTGTGACCGTCCACCTGGCCCCGAACCTCTCGAGAGATGACGTCTTGGAGCAGATGGATGCGGCGATGGAGAGTGAGTCTGTGCGCGCGCGTCCCTCGGTTCCGATTGTGGTGGTGGGTGACTGTAACGTGGACGTTAGAAAGGACAATGGCTGGTTGGTTGACCACATGCTGAACAATTACTCGATGACGTGTCTGTCTCTCGAGTTTCCGACCACGATCAACGGTGGCTTCATAGACTTGGCGTTCAGTAGGAACTGTACGGTCCGCTCCGTCTTGCCGGATCCGCTCACCGTACATTTCTCGGATCACAAAGCGCTGGTACTAACCGTCAGCTACAACGATAACACGAATAGGTGCTAATCTGTAGTGTAGTTTGTGTGTGTGTGTGACGCGCTCGCGATGTGTGCATTTAATGCATCGTACGAAAATCGTGAAGTGTAAATAGATAATACTTCGTATATAATGTATCTGTGTACAAATGCTTCATGACAAACAACACTTAAATTCATTAATTACACTTTAATCATCATCATCATCAGTAATAAACCTCCCAAGGATTTCCCCGAGGGTGAACATGGTTAAGTGCGAATGCATGGGGTGATGCTATGAGGGGGAGTAAAGTTAAAATCCGTTGGCATTCGCCAGTGAGTTAACGTAAACTCCCCCGTGTGATCAAATTGCGATTCCCAGGAACCATTACACCATAAAGGTGCCATAGTGTGATTAATAAATATAATAGTGCGAATTAATAAATACCCCTCATAGCACCACCCCATGCATTCGCACTTAACCATGTTCACCCTCGGGGAAATGCTTGGGAGTTTTCCTCTACATTTTCTTTGGAATGCAAATACTTTTCGAGGATGTGTGTATAATACATTTAAATGAACACAAAGTAATGCAAGAAGTGTTCAGTGCTCTCATTAAGAAAAATAAAAGTTTATCCAATAAAAAAATAAAAGTTTATCAATCCAATCTCATTAAGATAGATTTACCAGCACACAAAGCCTAAACACATAAGAAGAAAACAAACATGCTCAGCCCATACTAATTTAAGTTCGTAATATTTGTAACTGATAATACGCTTCAAAAGAGATCATTGCACTCTTGACTTGTTAAAAAAAACTGTAAGCTTCCATTAAGGCTAACTCTGTTGAAACATATTCTTGTTTAAGAACACGAGAATGTTGTGTTTCCCATAGACTCAATGAAAAAAAAAAAATCTTAGGACGTAATTTTATAATGCCTCTTTTGTTAATACGAACTCTTGCAGTGACCGACAATGACAGGGATATTGAGCAAGGAACATAATATACTCTTGGTGGGGGCATTCAGACAAAGAAGAGAAGGCAAAATGAAAAAAAAAAACTTCCTGGTGCAAAGACTAACCAAATTACGACGTGGAGGAAGGAAGAGAGATAAGTGGAAATGAAAGGTCAGCGTCTAAAGCTGGGATCTTCCTCACCCTTAGACAGTAGGTGGAGAAAGCGCCAGCTTTATCAGCAAAGAAGGCGACAAAAAGCGTGTGTCCTTTTGTGTTCTCCTTTCGTATTTGTTCCTCAACAAGAGAACAGAACACAAGAGCTTTGATAGAGAGAAAAATGCAAGGGAAGGGGGGGATGCCAAGTGAAAGCGAAAACGGGAACAAGGATTGTCTGTGCAATATAATCGCATGAAACCGACAACCATATGTGTGGCACTAGCACTCCCACCAGAGGAGTCGGATGCATTGTCATCGCTGTCACACAATGGTGGCGACGGAGCCCATGTGTTGCGGCCAGTTTGCGTTGTTATGCACAGGGCCTGTGCCGTGTTGTATCTGTTCCCACTTGAATGCAGCAACTTGTGATGCGCTAATTTCATTATAAAAGTGCACGACAAAACAAGGCCATTTTGCACACGAAATATAGTGTGTGTTTGTGTGTGCGTGTGTGTGTGTGTGCGTGCGTGCGTGTGTGTGTGCGTGCGTGCGTGTGATCGTAAGTAACGTAAACGAATATCTTCATCTGCACTGTCATTCACGAAAAGTTCCAGCTGGCTGAAAATATTCGAACCTCAAAGAACAGCTTCCAGACTTCTATAAGCAAATTGGCGTGCATTGGCTTTGTCAAGGTAACGATGTGTCATGGAGGTCAGGAGGTGTATCTAGAAATGATAGCAAAGCCAGTAAAACAGCTTCTTAGGAGTTGATCAGTCCAAAGGAAAAATATTCAATTCTTTGAAGGAAAATTGTGCTTGTCCGTCACATTTTATCTTTTTATATACGCCAAAGTATGGTAGTGTTCCAGTATTATTGTTCAAACGTGGTAGCAATTTATTTATAAGCATATTTATTATGAGCCCGCAAAATCGAGTATTCGTTAGATTATTCTCAAAAGTCTACTTGAAAGCATAGTTTATACCAAACTGAGCCAAATAAATGCTTTTCTTGTTCCTTTCCTCCCCATTGTGAGTATACTCCATTCAGTGTGTTGTTGTTGTTCTCCAATTGTTAGTGGCGCATACCCACTGTGGGGGATTGGCCAAGAATCGAGTGGCTTTAAAATTTACTGTTCAGATTTAGAATTCAAGCAACATATATGGGCGTACTTGGCATGTGCCACAAACGAGCGCTCCGAAAAAGCGTGCGCTGCGGATTTCCGGCGATTGTGACTATTCCAGGCGCCAGAGAAACGCTCAAGGTCAACGCTAAAGAAGAAAACAAGCATCCAAAGACACCCCGGCGCCCTTTCTCCCCCTCGGAAGCGTAGTTTCGCCGACCAACCTCCTCATATCGGCCGCCGAGCAAGCCCTAAAAAGATCTGGAAGGAAAGGGGCGTGGTGATGTAGAGTTGCGTCACGTGTCGCGGACGGCCCTCGAAACGTCTCGCTCTTTCCCCAGCCTTGGCTGTGCATTGCGCCGACGAAACAATTAGAAGTTTCTGGAATCTAGCGCGAAATGTAGTTAGGCGAGGAGCGATGAAGGGAGATCAGGAGAGAAGAAAGTTTGCGCCAGGGTGCATGGAGTGTTCCGCCTTGTCGGCGATGGTTTTGTCCTCAGTGACAAAGCAGGTGATGAAAAGAATTTCCGCCTGAAGGGTGAAGGCTGGTGCTAACAGCCGAAGAATAGTGTGAGACTACCGCCAGAGAGTTAAGACGCGTCCTGCAATCGCAACGCGTGGGAAGCCGACGTATTACCGGCGAAGTTTGGTGCTTGGCGAGCGGCCAATCGAAGACGCGAGGTTTCCTGGAAGAGAATCTTCGGGGACAGCGGATAGACAACAGCGCTGGACTTTGAGTGAGTGATTCTCGGAAGAGTATCACTCAGACTTTTGTTCGAAGGACTTTGGGCTGAATAAGTTCTCGAACTTAGTATTCAAGTGTCTTGGTTGTTCGATGGATGTGATTTTATTTTAGTGCGTATTGTTTGTGTCTGTTGTTTCGAGTGTAGCTTATTGTACTATGTAGTACGCTGTTTGATTGGAGGACATATTGTATTCAACTATTGTCGAGTGTGCATATTTGTGTGTCATTTGATCTGCCATATTTGAGAAAATAATTTGGTTTTGTTTATCAACTCTCGGCTCTTACTTGTTCTTTGGGCCACAGCCGGCGTCCGCTGGCGCGCCAAATAGGACCACTTCTAAATTGCCCGCGCTTTCGTGGTGCAGTTCGGGGGGCCGATACTTCGGTCCTTCGATTTAGCCCAGCGATCGCCTCCCTAATTAACGGGACCTGTGACAGCATGTTAGCATTTCACTTTTGAGGCCCCTTCTGATAAGCCGAACTCCTGATAAAACGAACAAATGATCGTGGTTCCTTCGAGTTCGTCCTAAAGGGAGTCTACTGTATGTGGCAAAAACTTAACCTTGATCTGTTCACCAGAAGTGCCAAAAACATGGGTGTCCAAACTCAAGAGGTTGCCCAAAATTGCATCTAGCGAAAATTGATTGTTAAATGTAGAAATGAAAGCTAATCTTTGTGTGGTAGCGTGCTTTTTAAAATGATCTCTTCCATTATGACCTCTTAGAAATCATGGTTATTTTGCTGAACACTTCATCCGAATACAGTGGCAGGCAGCCAGGGCACAATTTTCAGGGGGCAATTTCCGGGGGACTCTATAGACAATGAGTTTTTTTTGTTGTTATCGCTACCCTGTGCTCTTAAAGATGATTTTAAACTACTTCGACCTTAGCTACAACTTTTGATTTTTTTGCCATAAAGTAGAGGAACCACACTTGCGAAAGCATTTAAAAACAAACAAATATGTAATTTTGAATTTCATTTTTTTGTCATAAAAGTAGAACCATACTAATGAAAGCCTCTAAACAAAAAAATGAAGTTTTGGGAAAATCCCTTCACTTTACAGTCACTTCATCATCAATAAAAAGGCTCTGGCGCGTAGAATCGAACATGTGACCTCTGAAGTGAGAGTGTGAGGTGTTAGTCACTAAGTCACGAAGAAACAGCTATTGAACGTTTAAACGGCAAGCTATTTATACCTACCTTTTACCGCTGCCGACAAGCATTTCGGGGAGAACTATCATCTTTTAAGCATTAGCAGCGAGATGGCGCAATGAGCGCGCGTCGCCAGATAGTCACGACGCAGTGGTCCGCGCTCTCATCTCCCAGGCGCGCACTCTGCCCCGCGGTGAGGGGATGCTCTCGCGTGCGCTTGCTCATCTCGCGGTGGAGACAATAGCACGCCTTGGGCTTTCACCGGAACGATTCTGTTGTAGTTACCGGTCGCACAAAGGTCACTGCACTCGTTGCACACTCCCCGTTTGCGAAAAAGGCGTGCTTTTCAGACACAGCGAAGTAACAACTGAGACACTTATTCCCGTTCCTCTGTACCTGTGAGTACGTTTCGTGCGGTATTTGTGCCTGAGAAACGGGGGCCACGTTTCGATCTACTTTCCATTCTTCGCCTGACCTTCCAATTCGTTGCTTACGCGTTCATTGCTTCTCCTTTTCAGCAAAGCTGTGGCTATGTTCTTCTCGTTTTTTTCCTTTGGAATCTGTTAGTATATCGTTTACGTCATATCTGTTACGAAAATACGTCCCGGAGCCGTGGTGGACCCCGGCATAAAACACTCTCGAGTTAAGAAACTTGTAAGGCGTGCAGTAGGCACCATATCACGTTGTTTTTGTATCACTTCATTCGATCGCCCGAGGCTGTCACGTTATCATCTTATACGCGACGAATGCTAAATATTCTACTTTTCTCTTGGATACCACGGCCCAGACATAATCACTTGACTCGCCCCGCCACGGTGGTCTAGTGGCTAAGGTACTCGGCTGCTGACCCGCAGGGCGCGGGTTCGAATCCCGGCTGTGGCGGCTGCATTTCCGATGGAGGCGGAAGTGTTGTAGGCCCGTGTACTCAGATTTGGGTGCACGTTAAAGAACCCCAGGTGGTCAAAATTTCCGGAGCCCTCCACTACGGCGTCTCTCATAATCATATGGTGGTATTGGGACGTTAAACCCCACAAATCAATCAATCAATCACTTGACTCCGCACTGAACACGCTACCAATACCGACAGCGTCGTCATAGCCCGTCGCACCCAGAACAATTGATATATACGCAGATGCGAGGAGGATACTGCAAGCCGCTTTCGAATCAGCTGGGTTTGAAACAACAGCTGCAACCGCCCTAACGCGATTGCTCGCCGGCGGAGAGAACAGTTGAAAACAGCGCGCGCCTTTAGAGAACTCTCGCAGTCTAGGATATAAGAGCGGATAAGTCTTACCGATAAAAAAGAAGAAAAAAAAATGACGGGCCCAAATGAGTGGCTGGAAAGGCGAGATAACGAATGAGCGAGCAGTCACCCTCGGCTAGGACGTTGCGGGCTGCGATAAGCGGCCCGTCGGCTGTCCATTTCGTGTGCCAGTCCTCGCTTTGTGCGCCGGTTTCTAGCTGTTGTCCGCAGCCGTCATGGTGTGCTGCGTGGCGCTCGCCGTCGCCGCAGTGGGCGTCGCTGCGGCGATCGCCTACTGGTTTCGCTACCACGCTGACGCCTGCTGGAGTCTCATCTTTGCCGAACACTTCGGCACTTCGCCCGGTGAGCTGGTCTAATTGACGTCCGCTGTATTTCAACTAATTTCTTTTTCGGGGTAGGGTGGGGGTAGAGGGTTACGTGCATAAGCGCGCACACACCCGACGTGAGTGACGGTGCCCGATTACGAGGCGCGCCTTAGTGGTGGAGGCGGTATTAGGTAATATTACCTGGCGTTATATAAGGTCACATAGCTGGTTTAAAACATCTTCAAGAGAGAAGACAACAAATTCAGTGTTGGCTAGAGTGGAGACCAGCACGGTATGCTGCTCTCCTCTCACGCTAGGTAGGCAGCAATAAACTTTCGCCTTAAACGAGCGTGTTTTTAATAGCTACTGGGGTTTAACGTCCAAAAACCACGATATGATTATGAGAGACTCCACAGTGAAGGGTTCCGGAAATTTGGGCCTCCTGGGGTGATTTATCTAAATGTAATCTAACATTCTCTCCGTAAAAAATTGTGGCTGCCACGGTTTGGGAACGTGTTTTTATTTCGTTGAATTATTAACCCTTCTTTTTCTGCTCCAATTTACCGGTGAAGACACCATTGTTGTACAGCATGCACATGAATTTTTCTGCATTTCTCCCGGGCACGTACCGCCGAAAGACATCCTCCAAGACCGGGAATAAATCCTGCGACAATGAACTCCACTGTGTTCTAAGAGTGAGGCTGTCTAGCAAATCGTTCCTTGTCTATCAAAAAAAAAAAAAAACTAGGTCGGCTATGCGTGACAATGTGTGTCTTCACGCGTGCTTTCTCTGCACACACAAAAATGAAACCGTTTTTTTTTTTTGCGAGGAAAAATTCCGTCAGTCATGCAAAATGCTGTGATAATCGTGAGCGCATTAATCCGACTACAGTGTACTAGAAGGTCTAATACATTTTAACTCGGCCGACATGCGCTCTATCCAATCCCTTCATATGCTGCTTGGCTCTCAGGACGAATATACGCCAATTAGCCTGGCGTGGGATGCATCAGCTCAGACGGACCAGATGACAAGTGCAAAAAGAGGGGGCGAAAGAGCTAGGAAGACAATTTAAAAGTGAGAGAAAGAGAGAAGCAGTAATAAATTAAGAATAAAGACAAAATAAGGAAAGAAAGATACAGGTAAAGAAGAAACTCACTTTGGTTTGTGAAGAGAAGTGTGTATTCGGATTATCCCGCGCGCGCGAAATTCTAAACAGCGTTTGCCTTCAAGCATAACGTGTTTTTTTTTTTTCATATGCAACAATGTCATTTGTTTTTATGTCCTTTAAAACTTCATTGAAATTATGAAAGGTATAGGATGTAACAATGACAGATTTGACTCGCCCACTCACTCGTTCATTTACTCGCACACAAACACACCTAAGCATGCGACTGCATTAACAGCGCGCCTGCACATCGCTTGCGAAAACTTTCCGACGGTTATATTAAAAAAAGAAATGCTTATGGCGTAGTGGGCCCTTAACAATCGTTCTTGAAATATGACTTCGATGATACTTTGAAAGGACCATTGTTACGCGCACAGTCGTTCGCTTCCTTGTAGCATGGTTGAGGCATGCACCAATATCCGAAGCAGGTTGGCAGTTCAGAAGGCGATATGTGCGAGGCCCAATTACGCTATCGGGATCTGCTTCTGAAGGCGAGGATCAAGCATCCTCAATTTTTTTTTAAAACACAAGCTATACGTTTTTATAACGGCAGAAGGTCGTTGAGTCACAGTTGTACAAGTACAGCTTCGCAGCTTTCCACATGTGTCAAGCAGGGGTGGTGGTGGTGAAACGTTTTATCGATGATTCATACCTCGTACATCAGCAGACTAGACTCTCATCTACCCGAGGACACAGTAACTATTACTAGTAACAATCTTTTCCGTCAAGCCTTACCTAATTTTGTATAATTAAATAGTGTACAATGCAATATTATGTATTAGGTTCATATTATACTGAAGTCGTGGTCCATAATATTGTACATTAAGGAGGTTTCGTTTGTTGATCACCATATTTTCATGTTGTATTTTGTTCCTTGTCTACTTGTAATCTGTCCCCTCTATAATGCCATATGGTTTTGAGGGCAAATAAAATGAAATGAATTAGGTATATAGGGATGGACATTCCAGCGATACAAAAGGGGCGGACATGCAGAAACACTGAGCGAAGTGCAACTAGAAAGCGCAGATGATATGATACAGGAGCGTTTCTTTCCAGAACAATTAACTGGCGTAATTGCCCAATGAACGCATGAATAACGACAGCCTGTATTGCGCTTTATCGGTAGACATAGACCATCATCGAAGTGGGCAAGCTGTTTTATCTATGCCACGCCAGGAAAACAACACTTTTCGTGAGGTCTGTCGTTCTACTGTACAGAGGGCGATACCAAGAAATGTTGGGTGAAAGAGAGAAAGAGAGGTAGAAGCAAAGGTAAGGCAGGAATAGTTAGCCAGGTTATACCTGGTTCGCTACCCTGCCGGGAAAAAGGAAAGGGGAGGAAAACAATAAAGAAAGAAAGACAGAGAAAACAATAAATACGCACACACACACATGTCAGCGTTCACCGCGCACACTTAGTCCTTACTGGGAAGACCGAGACCTGTTCGTTACTACCTAGGGGGTGAGTGGTAGGCTGGGATAGAAATGCGTGTAACTTAAAGTATATTTATAATGGTGGCGATCTAATGTCTCAAAACTACAACATGGTTATGCGATGCGCCGTAATGGTGGGCTCCTCAAATTCATACCACCTGTGCTTCTTTAGCGTTCACATGAATCTACATGAACGGGCCTCAATCACCTTAACGCGATATCTGACCAAGACCCTCTGGAGCCGGTACCAGAGCTCTGGCGTCAAAAGCTATGGGTGGAACCTCTACCCCGTAATATGAACCCCGACCTCCATCCTGGCCGTAGACTAGCACGCGCCGCGGCCCTTCATACGCGACACTCCGATCGTCCTGGTGTTTTCTACGTGGACGTCTCGGGTCCCTCCCCCTCGGGTCACTTCACGGCTGCCGTGATTACAGAGGGCAAACACGTAGATGGCCTCTCCTTTCGAGCAGACACAGTAACGCACGCTGAAGAGGTTGCCATAGCTTTGGCCGCCTCTCACCCTGCTTCACGCACCATCCTGACGGACTCGCGCTCGGCCTGTTCTCAGTACCTTCAGGGTTCCATTGCCCCGCTGGCGGCTAGCCTACTACAGGCAGCCTCTTGGCGCTTTAACCCTCATCCCATTCGTATAGTCTGGACCCCAGGCCACTCGGGCCTGCCCGGCAACGAGGCGGCAAATGCCGCTGCCCGCGCTTCTCCTGTCCGGGCCGTTGCCCCTCCATGTCCCGAGACGGAATCTGGCAATACCAACCTGACGCGCTTTCGCGAAATTTTGGCTTATTACCGGGCTTCGCGCCGCCTCTACCCGGACCCCGCACGCTCTTTGGAGAAAGCGGACGAACAACTGCTACGCCGCCTGCAGACGAACACCTTTATCAGTCCGGCGGTCGCCAGGCACTTTTTGCCGGAAATCAATGGCACCTGCTCGACCTGTCATGTGCTCGCCGACACATATCACGTCGTAGCATCGTGCCCAGTTAATCCCGTCCCTTTCTCATCCCCTTTTCCTATCCCAACTAGAGAGGCTTGGGAGGAGCACCTGCTCGGCTGCTCTACCTTGGCTGCACAACGCTCCTTGGTGGAGCGCGCGCGGGCAGCTTCCAGCTCCACTGGCGTCCCGGAATAGGGTCTTGCCACTCTAGCACGCCGATGGGCCACGTCGGCACTCTCTAGTAGACTTTTTCTGAAATAAATGTTTTTTACCACCACCTACCACCGCCTCAATTATTTTCGCCTCCGTCGAAAACGTGGCCGTCGGAAGGGATCAGATTCCGCGACCTTCGGATCTGCATTCGAGCCCCGAAACCCCTTGACGACAGCGGTGGTAGTGTAGCTCGAACTGAACCTTTGCCACAGGCGTGTGCAGGGTTCCCCTTCAGGGAACCGGGGGAGGCAAAGGTTCGTTGTGCCCTTTCCCTCAACAATTCAGTGAATAGGGCAGACTTTGCGCACCCCTCAACCCCCTATTTCGTGACTAGGGAAAGCGGTAGCCACCTTTGCCCCCCCCCCCCTTCCCCCCTGCACACGCATGTCACTTGCTACCTTGACAGTAGGTGCAGCGTCTCTCACCTCGAATGCATTGATGCGAACAAATCAGTCATCCCGGTTTTCTCGGTAGCTTCAGCGTAATTTCGTCAGACGGCATGAAGAAGGAACAAACAGTGAACCAAACAAAAAACGAACCAACAAAAAACGTAATGAAAGATGTATGCAGGTTTTTCTTCTTTCTTTTTGCAATTGAGATTTCCTGTAAGTTTGTTATGGCTGTCAGGCACCTTCGCACACGAACTCTAAGTCAAGGTGAAAATGTGCATCGCCGCATCTAAGGTAACATCGAAATAAGTTGTTAACAATGAGCTTGCTTATTACCTTTTTGATTATTGATTTGAAGGTACTTGTTTATATCGAAGAGTTGCACGACATTTATAAGTTGTAGAGTAGTATAATAGTTTCGCAGACACGACGTGACAACAGGAAGAAATGGCTACAGTTGCGCTTCAAGAAAAAGTTCTACACTCTAAAAAAAGAGCGAGTAAAAAGGGTGTCTTTTTCTCCCAGAACAATAATCGTCATCTATATTGCATTCCATCCTTGCGCTATCACCCCGCGCCCGGCAAATTCCGGTCACAATCGACATGCCCATTATCAGGGTTACATTGCATTCTCGATAGGAAAGTGGCCAGCACCGAGTTTTCAAGAAAGGAAGCGCACGCAAGCCTGATGACTATCATTGTTGTGGGACAAAAAGACACCCTTTTTACTCGTCATTTTTTTAGAGTATAGCAGTTTATAACGCCATGGTCCGCTTGCCGTTGTTGTGGATCGCATTTAAAACTGCTGTGCATAATTGTGCAACGTTTTATGCGCAAAAAAGTGAATCTTGTGAGTATATCACAGAAAAAGAGTGGCTGTTTCTTTCTGGGTGTGGCTGATTATCGGATGGATGATAGGCTTCGGGTTGTTTTTGTGCGCCTGCGCGAGATAAGTGGTTTATGTAACCGTGGATGCGTGAATCAAGTGGTTGGTTGGTTTGTTGACCCTTATCAACCTGGCGCAACCCATTATAGTGAATTGGTAACGATTGGTGCGTTGGTATAAAAATAATTTTTTTATAATCTTGAATAATGATTAGCAATAGATAGTTTTTTTAACCAAATCACCAATTTATTGCATGAAAATAATAAAAAAATCTAGTTAATTGTTGAAGAATAAGATTGGTTTCGATAACCTTGGCATTCAATTCGTTCCGTCCGGTGACGATGTGTGATTCAATGTGCCTTCTTCATCGTCCTCGTTTACAGTTTTCGCTGGTTTTCCAAGCGTATCTAAACATGAACCAACCAAACTTTTCACGCTTCTCTACAATAGTGCGAAAGTGCTACATATTTGCGGTGTCACGCACTTGAGTTCTTTATCACGTGCGCCAAGTATTAAATGCGCGTCACTGTTTGCTTCTGACGCAGCCACCCTCAAACGTCAAGTGGCATGGATCACTGGCGCCGGCAGCGGTGTGGGCCGTGCCACGGCTCTCGAGCTCGCCTCGCACGGAGTCAAGGTCGTCCTCTCGGACTTGGACGAGCAATCCATCGAAGACGTCAAGTACACTCTCGTCGGTAAGGCAGTATACCCTTCCATTTAGCTGTGGCAGGAGTTTTCCCCATGTATCCCTTCTAACGACCGAGCGTCGGGTTGGCAATTCCCTGTACCCGTTTGACGGGCGGATGTCCGGCGGTGAGATTCGAACGCACCACCTCCCGCAGCTGAACCGGACCCTAACCTTTAGGCTGCGACTGTATACGGCGGTGCTGCCTATGAGTATATATGTCCTGCTGCGTAATCACAATGACAGGTGTGTGAGCCAAGTGCCTTTTAACAGAGTGTGACACTATCATTGAAAAATGTCTTCATTTTCGTAAAGAACGGGCACTCCCGTAGCGCTCTGCGGCTGAGCTACTGCGCCCGTGTCAGTGCCACGAGTGATGGGCGACACAAATAAGACTTTCAGAAATGTGGGGAAATAATCGCGGGGCAGAGATTATTGAACGATGTAAAAATTTTTTTTTGCGGTGCTACGATCTGAAACCACGCCATCATGCTGCGAAGGTGAGTGACTTCACATCAGGAAGACACATTTATGCATGAGTGTGAATACCTGTATATATAAACCATACTAATGCCATCTAACAATGATACAAAAAAAATGTGTCAAAAGAACAAACTGCATTCATGCAGGCTTTACTGAATTTTTATCTTAAGACATTAAACGCTACCTGCAAGCCATGTACAATCGATATGGACTATAAATAGCGTAGCTTATAAATAGCGTAGCTTATTAATAGCGTAGCTTATAAATAGTGTAGCTTATAAATAGCGTAGCTTATAAATAGCATAGCTTATAAATAGCATAGCTATAAATAGCGTAGCGAAAATAGCATAGCTTGCAGCAAGTTCAGCAAGGCTAGGTCACAGCAGAGCTGGTAGGCAGTGGCACCTAGCTGGCCTTGACTTGGCTAGGCTCTTGCCCTCCCTCCTGTCTCTTTTCCAACCCTTGCCATACTATGACATGGCTATACGCTTGCCCAGTTTTTTATATCTGTGTTTTTCTATCTATTTCTTTCTGTTGATTTATTTATCTCTTTTCTAGCTTTTTCTCATTATCTATCTTTTCATTTTTATGTCCATCTATCACTCAGTAGTTGTTATTTTGCCTTCTAAAATTTTTCTCTCTCTACCCTTTCTTTCTATTTATATCTCCTTCTTTCCCTCTCTGTACTCTCTTTTTCATTTTCCTCACTCTAACTTCCCGTCCCAGCCCAAAAGACTGATGAGTGGTGACCCCTCGCTGTACAAACATTTCTTTCCTTTGCTGTTTTCCTTTTGGTGCTGAATATTCGAAAGTTATTTGCTAATTTTTTGGCCTTGTGCTATTCGATTGGAGTATGGAATCAAATGGAGCACTTTTTGACTCATTTTTTTTTAAATTTTCGAATATTTGCACACTTCTACACTCAGGTTTCTAACGATAGGGTGACCGACGGCCCCTGATTTCGCATTCAAAAAACTTTTTCGCTTCCAATTTTCCCTCGCAGAAAGCATGGTACAAAATAATTGTGAAAAGCACCTCAGTGTTTCACTGAATTTTTTTTTTTGCATTCATGTGAAGGATGTTGTCTTCTTGACTTGAACAAGAGTTTGGGGAGGGCGGCGCTGTCGGAAAATTTGCCTCCCCTCCTTATGGGAAACTCCAGGGCACTCCTCTGGCTTTGACAATAGATCAGGGAATGGTATATATGGATACTTCATAATAGGGACAGTTCACTGCCAGTAGTAGGAACAAAACCATATCATCATCATCATCAATATTATCGTGACTACGTAGCCCATATACATTAGGTGAAATCTTGAAAATTGCCGACCCGCTTTAGCGCAGGAACTGCTGGCTGAAAAAGACGTGTTGGTCCTCCCGATGGACGTGACCAAGTTCGACGAGCACTCCAAGCTGTTCGATAAGGTGCTCGAGAGGTTTGGTCGCCTCGACATCCTCGTCAATTGCGCGGGTCGCTCCCAGTCGGCCCGATTCCAGGACATCAGCATGGAGGTGAGCCGAGCAGCTGTGCGGCTTTGTTACGCTTTCACACTAGTCGTGTTATAATTAGCGGCAGCATGAGATGTTGCGCCGCTAAGACTGAAGACGGCGGTTTGACACCCGGCAACGGAAGACGTCAGCTTGGTCATAGTTGGCGTCATTTGTTGGGTGGTACATCCCTGTTAAATATGTTTCTGGCAATAACGATGTTAGAAAATAAGGAAAAAAATCTCACAGGGTTTCTTATGCTTTCACTTAAAACCACTCGAAGTCAAAATGCATCTTCTCTTTTCTCCCAGCCCGTGTATTGATTCTTCCCCGCCGCCCTCAGTCGAAAGCTTTCTGCGCCTGACATGGTTTTGCATTGCCTCAAAAACTGGAGGCATGCCTCACCAGTCTTTGGAGTGCCTCCGTGATTGGACCACATTGAATTGAACTATGGTGCTTGGGAAGTAGAAACAGTGCAAAAAAATTGACAAGGACAGAGGAAGAGATGACACCACGCTGAACTCAAAACTAAACTTTATTGGAAGACACACGCAGATATATCAAGCATTCGACCTGGTCACGTGGAAAACCAAAGTCATCTGCGCATCAAAGCAAACAAGGTACGAAACAAGCCTAATCGTACTGAGCATCAACACATGTGTAACGACCGAGGAAGAAAAAAAACACACCTTCCTACTTGCCAAAACATACGCAACAGTCTATAACAAACTAATAATCACTTTAACATGGCAGCGCTGAACACAGGTACTGAACTTCTTTTTCACCAAAGGCCACAGACGGCTTACTTACACACCTTTACCCCTCCTTTTCAATGAAAAAAGCCCCGATCACTTCTCTAGTGCACTTGTCCTGATGTCCAAACAAACAAGAGGCTTTATCTGCCAGTGGTTGACAGCCACACTCTCTAGAATGAGCTGGAAGGTCCTACCCTCCAGCAGCCATCAAAGAGGGTAAGGGTTCCCTTAGTCTTACGTTATTGCACCGCCCGGTTTGTTTTATATAAACCACTCCGCATGACAATGGCAACATATATAAAACACAAGATTTACACTGAACATATCTATTTTTTTTTTCTTCCCCGGACAGAACGAGCAGATCTTTCGTAAACCCGAACTTCTTTTATGCACGCGGGAGCAAATAGAGGACAACTATACCTATTGGCCACATTTTTCAAGCAATGTGAAAACTTGTGCACGTAGGGTACCACAACCGGTTCCTTTTCATTGTGCACGCTCTCTGTTCTCCTGTGCGTATCACTTACGCCTTTGACCCACTTGATTAGCTTTTGACAACTCCTCAAGATTTGCGTATCAGGGTAGCCCGCCAACTTCAGCCTCTCAACCTGGCTCATGAAACTTTCTTTCAGCGCATGCGTGCACGTTTTCAAGAGTGCACCCCGCAGTGCAGTGTCGTCTCTTCCTCTGTCCTTGTCTATATTTTTGTGCTGTTTTTACTTCCTAAGTGTGAACCATCAACTAGCCCAATTTTCGCTATTATTGTAAACTATGGTGCGATGAGACGTCATCACGTGGCGTCAGGTGACGTTTCATCACTATGACGTCATGATGGAGTCAAATTTCGGCGTGCTGCGACGTCATCTTGAAACGTTACGGTGACGTCAACTGCTTGTATCACTAGTCCCCAACGCCACAGAGTTTCTTAACACCTAGAGGGAGCTCTGGCGCTTCAATTGTTCGGCTACGATGGGAATGATAAGCAGTAAGCGGTTTTGCGTAGTCTTCGTGCTTACGGGCTTCGATCGCGCTCGTGGCTTTGTTTATTGTTGTGTTTTGGTTATGTATCAATTAAAATGATGGACTCTTGTGAACTTCGTAAGCAGATTTGAATTGGTGAGCCTAAAAAGCCAAGGTGGTGAAGCGTAGCTGCTAAACCTTTGCCAAACTTCACCTTGCGGCAATGTGGATTCTGGCCCCACAAAGCCACACGGAGCTGAAAGAACGAAGATTAGAGAAATCCGTGTGCTATCCAGTATTCCCATGCTTGACTGAGGTGCTATGCATTTTACCCGCCATAGACACTAGCGACAGAGTTTTCTCCATAGTTTATTTATGGGAAACTCGCTGTCCAATGCCTCGGGACGCGAGACGCCGCTGTCGGGTGACGCTGACGGTCAGCTTCTCGTTTTGTGAGACATGTAAGGCTTTCGCCTTAATATCAAGAAAATTGGCAGATCCCCTGTACAGTCGGAATCGATGATATGCGAAGCATGAATGACGAAGGTTGTGGAGGTAAATGATGCCGTACATGACTTTCGTATTATGGTTATCATGTTTGGATGTCTCGTTTACCTTCGTCATCTCTTCACGTCCCGTAATACCAAATTCGGTATAAGTGAAGCTAGCGAAACGGCCGCCAGCACATCATGAGCGTGGCATGTAGTCATGTTGTTACACGACACGTATCTCATGATTATCACGTTTGCACCAGTCCGACACCTTCGTCACCCATTCAAGTACTGTAATACCAAATTTGGTATATGTTACGCTAGCGAAACGGTCACGAGTGCATCATGAGCGTGGCATGTAGTCATGTTGTTTCATGACACTGATGTCATGACTTTCATCTTAGGGTCTGTCGCTTGTGTTCGCCATGCAATGGTGCCATACCATGCCCGTTTTGCAACATGCCATGTGAACGAAACCACCGCGAGAGCTACAAGACCATGAAATGTAAATCATGACTTTCATGACATGTCATGATTTTTGTGTGATGACTAGTCAAGTATGTTCTTCATATAGTCATAGTCAAGTATGTTCTTCATACAGTCATGTTATGCCATACCAAGTTTGGTATCGATACCATTATCGAAACGGCCAGGAGAGCTAAAAGTCGTAGAGATAGATAGATAGATAGATAGATAGATAGATAGATAGATAGATAGATAGATAGATAGATAGATAGATAGATAGATAGATAGATAGATAGATAGATAGATAGATAGATAGATAGATAGATAGATAGATAGATAGACAGATAGATAGATACGTTCAATGTCGCCGAAGTTCGGTAAGAAATGGTTCGCATTTAAAAACGGTGACGTGCTTCACAAGCTGCACCCGCATTTGCTCTCTGGCTTTCTAGGAGTAGAGACGGGAAGGAAAAAAACAGTTGTTGGAATGCGACGCTTCGAGGCCCTTCAGTCCTCAGTAGCGACACGTCCCGACCTGGCAAAATAGCGAAGTGGGCTAAATAGTAATATACCTATGTAACTCTACCCTGAACCTTTCCCTTTAGTTAGAATAGGTGACCAGTAAAAGAGTGAGGGATTGTGAGATGCGCCGTCCGCTGCCGGCTTCCTGTTCGAGAAGGAAGGAAAATAGTGGAAAAAGAAAAGGCAGGGAGGTTAACCAGCCTATAGGCAGCCGGTTTGCTACCCTGTGCATGGGAGAGGGATGGGGGAGATGAAAGAGAGCAGAGAGGGAAGAGAGAAACAGCACATTCAGCAGCACACGCGCGCACACTCAGTCATAGTTCAGTCTTGTCTTTCACGGTGTGTGACATTGCTGTTAAAGTCTCTTGTTCAAGTCAGTGTCACGTAGGAATTTCAACAGAGCTTTCGTCGCCTTCTGTTGCAATGTCTTCTTCTCGGCACTTGACAGAATAGTGTCCACAGACATTTGGCTGTTGTCGATGCGCGCAAAAGCGGACGCCAGTGACTGTCTCTGGATTTCATACAACGGACAGTCACAAAGGATGTGGTGTAGCGTCTCTTCGCAATGACAGGCATCGCAGAGAGCGTTGTCGGCCTTTTCTATGACAAAGGAATAAGATTTTGTAAATGCCACTCCTAGCCATGAGCGATGAAGAAGGGTGGCTTCTCTTCGGTCGAGTCCAATGGGCATGCGGAGAGCCATCAAAGAGCACAGGTGGTGTTGACGATTCGTATCGATGCTTGGTGGGCACCATAGGGAAAACGTGATTTCACGCGCAAGTCGTCGAAGATTACTGGTTGGAGAAGAGTAGACGACGGTGAACCACTTCACCGCGTGCCTCAGATTATTCGGGATTCGCGCGCGCGGTCGCCTGTTTATCTTTGTTCAGCAGTTCAGCAGTTGCCTGCTCGAATTCGAGCGTGAAAGACAAACGCATGTACCGATTCCCATAGAACGAATAAAGAAAAATGAGGCGCGCCGCAGCTGTGAAGAGAGCCCCAGCGACAAGTAGCCTTTGGGTACCGAACGTTGGATTCAAAGTGTGCGAAGACCATTTTATCACAAATACGTGTGCATTCTGCACTAATAAGAAGCTTACGCATGAATGGATGCGAATATTATATCTAGAAACGAATTGTCGCACAGGCGTGCCCAGCAAAAATATTATGGGAACGCGCGGGCGAAATCTGCCTGTCATATGAGATGAGCACCGGCATTGCACCCATATATAAGACAAAGAAAAACAAACAAACGCGAAAGCTTCACTCGAGAATAAGTTTACACGAAGCACTGGACGAGTCCGTTTGAGTTTATCTTGGTCAAACTGTGCGTCAGGACGGCACACAAGGGAAGACGTGCGTTAAACAAGCGCAAGGTTTAGATTCTTCGGCGCCGTCTATGCCTGACTGTATTGTTTATTTGCCGCCGTGCCGTGCAGCTTGACCAAGATCAGCGTTCAAATAAGCATGCGGCTTCTACTAAGAAACGCATCTCATAGCACGCTGAAGGCTTTATAAAAAAAGACACCTCAATGCGCTCGATAAATGGCGCGCTTAATGTCGATCGACCGATGATTTCAGCCGAAAAAGCGATCCCAAAATGAACTCTTAACACACTGCTAGAGTACTTATCACCATCCCATGAGATGTTTAAAATCGTGATTTTTTATCTACAGTAACGTATCATACAACGAAAACTGTCTTCTGTATCACTGATCTGCTAGCAAAACTGACAGTAACCATGAGCAGCATAAAAGCATTGCAGAGCATTTCGGTGCGATAAAAAGTTTGCTTACTGTTCATGGCTCTCGTAGCTGGTTATTTTCGCAGT